CTTGACACTTACTAGCTGCGTGACCCTGGGTAAGTCACTTAACTTCAATTGCCTAAACAAAACAAAACACAAACCCCCAAAACAACCTGAGAACACAAAAGAAAACAGAGAAATACTTTCAAAATTATAAAATACCCATAAAGAAGATAAAATAGAATCTTAAATCTCAGAAAAAGAAATAGAACTAGCTGTAAAGGCACTATCAAAGAAAAACACACCCAGTCCTTATGGATTCACAGGAGAATTCTATTAAAGTTTTAAAGAATTAGTAGCAATACCACACAAATATTCTCAAAAGCTGAGAAAGAAACCCTATCCAATTCCTTTTACAAGATAAATAGAAGCCTAATTGTAAACCAGGGAGGGATAAAGCACAGGAGAACTATAGAGCAAAATCATTAATGAACATCTATTAAAAAATTGTCAGCAATAAAATTAACTATATTAAAAAGAAAAAAAATCCCAAACTAAATGATTACCTCAACAGATACATGAAAATCCTCTGAAAATGTACAACACACACTTACGCTAAAAACCCTGCAAAGTATAGGTATAACAGCATCTTGTTTTAATATCATAAAAAGTATCTACCTCAAACTAAAAGCAAGCATCATATACAATTGAGATCAAAGCAATATACTTTATAGAACTCAATAAACTAGCAATAAAAATCATTTGGAAAAATTAAACATATCAAGGGGAATGTTGAAAAGAGGCAGGTATGAAGAGAAAACATCACATCCAGACCTCCAGCTACGTTATAAAGTACCAGTCTTCAAAACTATTTGGTATTGGCTAAAAAGAAAAAAGACAAGTATAACAATGGAACACACAAGGCAGAATCAGAAACAATGGAATTCCATTACCTAGTACTTGATAAATTGGAAAGCATAAATTATTTGGGAAACAACTCCCTATTCGATAAAAGCTGCTGAGAAAATTGGAATGCAGTCTGATAGAAATTAGGCTTAAAAGCAACACTCCAAAAAATATTACACAGTATATTACATGGAGATATAACCTTAACATTAAAAAAATCGCATTACAGAAGAAATTAGAAGAAAAGTACTTCAAATACCTTTCATAACAACTATTGGTAGGAGATGTAGTCTTAACTAAATGAGGAATAGAGGCAATCACAAAAGATAAAACTGATAACTCTGATCACATGAAAATGAAAACCTTCTGCACAAACAGAATTAATGCACCTAGGAAAAGGAAAGTGGCTCAATGGGAAAAAAATCTTTTATCAAATTTCTGTGATAAGGGTTTTTTATACTTTCTCTCTATACACAAACACTCATATATATGTATATATAAATAATTAGTGCACATATATGTATATTACCAAAAGCCATTTTCCAATAGATAAGTAGTCAAAGGATATGAATAAAATTTGCAAAAGAAGAATTTCAAACTACTAGTACTCACATGAAAGAATGATTCAAATCATTAATATAAGAAATGAAAATCAAAACAATCCTGAGATTTTACCTTACACATTGCACACTGGCAAAATGATCAAAAGATAGTAATAGTCAATGTCGGAGGGGTTGTAGGAAAATAGGAACACTAATGCACTGGTGGTGGAACTGTGAATCAGTACGTGAAGAGACACTTTAAGATGAAGTACATCTTGTTACTGTTTCTGACTGTTAATTTTCTGACTGCAGTATAATTTTTACACGAGGGTAGGTTGTGATTACGGGTGTACAAGAACGCAGGCTCATGTATTTCTGCTATGGTTACACGTGAAACTATAAGAAGACTGTGAAGCCGTAGACTCATTATTTGTGTGTATTAGAGGTCAACCACGGATATGTATGAGTGAAGTTTTTTGTTTCTGTGCTGTAGGATAGGAATGAGAATGTGGGTATCGGCTGTGATCACCAGGTATGTTTGTTGTAGAAGAGATTGTTCTGGTATGGCTTGGACATCTAAGGTCCTTTCCAATGCTGAGATTCTGTGAAATTCTTAAAACACATAAAAACTTGTTGAGCTTCTTTCACAACCAGAGAGATAAAAAAAAAATCAAAACAACTTTTAAGATATACCAAACCGAAGTATAAAAAATGGCAAAATTAAAATATGGACGGAGTGGCAGGAATACAGGTGCTCTTATTACACTGCTGTTGGTAGACTAGTGTAAGTGCTTTGGATAAGAACCTGGCAATATAAGGTAAGTGACAAGTCATGAGCTGTACAAAACTATCTAAAACTCCTTTATTTCACTATGAAGCGAAAAACTCTTAACAATGACTGCAGAATGGCTATATGAATTACAGAATATTAATGTACATGAATATTACTGTGCCATAAAAATGATGAATGTAAAAGGAGAAAGAAAGACTTCTATGAAATAATACAATACAAGATCAGAAGAAAAAGAATGCTACACATACAGATTACAACCATATTTTCAAAAAACCCCAAGTTAGTGACCAGAAGTGATACAAATTTTGGAAAGTGGCAGAAGATAAACATTTTGTTACTTTCAGAGAGAATGTGGGTATATTGGAAGAAGTGATGGGAGAGTGGTCTTGGATCCTGATGCAGATACTTCACCACCCTGTGAAAATAGGGTGACTCGTGAGCTCTTAGAAACTCAATTTCTTCTTTAGCAAAATATGGATAACAAGGCCTGCACTGCCTACTATACAGAGTTGTTGGGAAGAAAGCATTCTGCAAATTTTAAGGAGTTATAGAAATGCCAGTTATTATAATTATATCATATTGTTTTAATTTAAACATAGTTTAATTTAACAATTCTATTTGTATTATTCAATGTTTAACAATTAAAAATTTTTTGGCATTTATACTAGTATTCAATTGTTAAATACATAATTAAAATTCTTTTCTCTTTCAGTTTTTACTGATTTAAAACCTAAAAACACAGGGAATTCCAAAATATAAAAGATGACAAATAACTATTTTTAGGTCTACAAACCCATGAAGGCACAATGAAGTATGAAATACAATGACATGCAGAGGGGATGCACTATTTATTTATCATGGAAAGCTTCTTATATTATCTCTACCAGCATCAAAAAGGTTGTATATGTTGATTTTAAGCTCTCCCTTTTAAAACATTCTGGATTTCTTGTACAAATTATCATGCTTCTACTTTTTATTCAAACTAATCTGCTTCTATTTGGCAGCTAGACCTGGTTAACAACGGATGCCTTTGCCCCAAAGTGACCTTAGTCCCCAAATAACAATTGTTACAATCTAAATGTTACAGAATTAGGAGAGTTTTTCTCTTGGTATATGTGGTATATGGTATAAGCATTAGCAATACTTGCTAATAATTAGTTTGGCCTATGACAAACATTTAAAAAACTTTGACAATGGGAATTTTAATTATGCAACTTTTCTGGAAAGTTTTTATATTGGTACATATGTAAAATAATTTATGAAGTAACCTTTTCGCATTTTCAATCCAGTAACAAATATATTCCATTGATCAGGCAGCCACACACAGGTTAAAATGAGATTTAATTTAACAATATCAGAGCAGTAAAGGACCTCAGAGTACATCTAGTTAAACCCAAATCTGAACAGGAATCATTCCTCTATTACATACATATCCCCATCAAATGATTATCTAGCCTGAAGACTTCTAACAAAAGGAAACCTAGTACCTCCCGAGGCAGTTCATTCTACTTCTGCATAGCTCTAATAAAGATATTTTTTACTTTAAACCTAAATTTACCCCTTTTTAAACTTCTATTCACTGCTCCTACTTCTGCATTCTAGGGTCAAGTAAAAAAATCCACTGCCTCTTCCAATGCTAGCCCTTCAAATGGGAAATGTTTATTAGGTGTACCAAAAGTATTCTCTTCTTCAACCTAATATTCCCAGTTCCTTCAACTGATCTTCATCGGGAAAAAACCCAAGACTCTTCCCCATCTTGGTTGCTTTCTTTTGGCCACTTACCAACTTCCTAAAACGTGGTACACAGAACTGAACACAATACTCCACAATGTGGCCAAATGTGGTCTAACTAGGGCAAGGCACAGCAGCATTATTACTTCTTGACTCTCGGACACCATGTGACTCTTAGTAATGTAGCCTAAGACTGCATTAAGTTTTTGGCAAATATTTCACACTACTGATTCATTTTGAGCATGCAGTCCACTAAAAGGCCCAGATGTTTTCAGATAAATTGACATGTACAAAGCTCAGTACCTTTTCAAGGATCCGTTATTCACTTGTAATATAAGTACCAAAATCTCACTGCTTCAAGAAAGTAGACAAATTTTAAGAATTTCTTTAAAAATATGCATTTAGATTTAAGAAATCAAAAGCTAGGCTGTAAATTTTAAATCAGATATTGACCATATGCTCTATTTGCTTGCAAAATTTTCCTCTTCCCTTTCATTTTATGAAGGTAGTGGGAAAGGAGATAATATAAGCACCTGATTTCTGGCTTGCTGCTAGTCTTTGTAATTTTTCTTAATCTTTGAGAGTCTCATCCACTGTTACTAAAAAAATAAAGGACAAAATTAATTGGAATTGATCCTGTGAGAATTCCTTCATTTCTTTTCAAGATCAAGCTTAGCATTTAAATTCAATATTAATATTTGAATAAAGGTTTAAATACCTTTGACTCTAATCAAAGAACTCTCATGGCAGCAGTTCCAGCTCCCAGCTGGCTTCCCCCCATGGTCTGCAGGGCCTAACATTCTTGAAGCTCATTCCAAGAGACTTAGCAGAAAGATAATAAGTAATTGAGCGTTAACTTCTATTTCTCTTTCTTTATAAAAGAAACCTAAAAAGTAAGCAACTACTTATTCCTTTAGGTTAAAATATTTGTCCTGGCAAGTATATATAATGTGGTGATGGCAATGGCAGCTGTTCTTTCAGAAGCAGGAGAAAAAAGTGGAGAAATAGTAGAATAGGAAAAAATGGGAGAGCAGAAGGTTTACTCAAAGAAAAAAAAATATCACGGTGTATGTCAGTATATGTTAAAATGAAATGAATTACAAAAATCCACATACCTGATTGGGGACTCAAAAATATTTTTGCTTTTTGTTTCTTTTTTTCTTCATGTAAATGAATTGCCTAAAAAATACATGCAAGGTGTATTGATCATATGCACAATGAAAGCTCATTGAAAGAACCAACATTTAAACTATATAAAAAAGTGGTCGAAATAGATTATTTGTGTCGAAGTTCTGTAACTTTTACTCACATAACTATTAACTTTAAAGTCCACCCTCCCTTCCCACCTGCCATTGTACAATCCCAGAGAAAATAAAGAAATATAAGCTATAATTTATACTTGGATGGCAAAACATAGGTATGTGAAATAAAAGAACACATTAAAGCAGTGATTTTTAAAGTATGTTCTGTAGAATCCTTTTAGGGGGGTCTGCAAGGTCAAAGGTATTTTCAAATTCTATTAAGATGTTACTTCAAGCAAAACAATATACAGCAACATGTTGCGTTATATAGATTTAGATTAAATGTAGAAACCTATGAGAATCCAGCGTTCTCCTATTAAGCTTGCCATTAAAGAAATCTGTAAAAATATGTAAAGCAATGCTACCCTTCTCACAAAGTATTTTTGTGTTGGAAAATTCAGCTATTTTTTCGTAAAAATATTATGTTAAAGTTTATTGTTGTTATTTTAAAATGAATTGAAAAATATTTGAAAGATTATCAGTTTTAGTTTTAATATGGCAAATATTAATACAGGCCACATAATCAAACACTCTTTGGGGTCGTCAGTATTTTTAAAGCATGTAACAGGATCTTGTGATCAAAACGTTTGAGAATTGCTGCCTTAAAGCATCATACCATCTTCTAAAGCCTCCCTCTCATTCTTCATCATGGCATGGAAGGGAAGCTTGGTCCTTGAGGGCCAGGACAATAGAGAACAAGCACTGCTATGCCCTACACTATACTGAAAAGTGTTTAGCATGAACCCTCTTAACCAGAGGAATAGTCTGGCTACTGTTGGGACCAACTTGTCTGGTAACAGTAACTCTTAGATCATCTCCTCAGTAATAAACGGCTTGTGACCTGCTTTAGGGCAAAAAACACCTACAGGAATGTAATTGTGTGTCCTTGTTTCACTGAAATATAAAGCTCCTGATAAGCAACTACAAAATGAAATGAAGTACTGAGGGGATACAGTGGCTTCTTGGGAATTCCGACCGATGTTTACCTGACTGAGTTTGCCGGTTTGTTTCAAGGGACCAGGGGAAGAAGACCCAAACACACCATCCGATTTAGACATACCTTTAAAACAAAGAGTATTTGATGATTCTACTTTAAATAAAAAGCAGTGTCTCTGTGTTAAAAATTGTACATAAAATTTTCTGTCAAAGCAAAATTATCTTTTTCCTTGGGTACATAAGTGATATTTGTAAAGAGAATATAATTTTTTGAAAAGCTAATTAATTACTTTAAAATCAAAACATTTTATTGATGCATTTTTTGTTACTTCATCACATTAGCTTCTGAATAAATCTTTTCTCCTCCTTCACTCAGTAAGCCCATACATGATAACAAAGACTTAAAAGAGAAAAAAATAAGTGGGTCAGCAAAACCAATTACCAGCCAACCATATCTACCACTATATGCAATATTGCCCATAATCCCTCACTTCTGCAAGGAAGAAAGGGAGGTGTGTTTTTCAACTCTTCTCTGACTTGATCATTATAATTAGTTTTTAGTTTTGTTATTTGTTTGATTTAAAACTAATTTTTAATGGATCCCCATGGAATTCTAATGACTCTCCCATTCTTCAACCCCCCCCCCCACTGCTTAAGTGGCAATTTAGTATTAGAGATGATTAACTGGCTTAATTTAAAATTAAGCAATTCATATGGACTATGTATGTTTTCCACTAGCTTTCATTAAACAAATCAGAAGACCTCTATAACACTGGATAGAGGATTTATGAAAAAACATGCAGAATAAGACTATGCTGAAAGGTTGTGTTCTGAACTGGTGTAGGTAGTATGTACAACAATAAGATAAGAAGCTTGTTTCTGAAAATGAATAGTCTAATCACAGCTTCTACATAGTTTGCATGCTCTTAGCCAATAATAAGGATAGGAAAGACGACAGTAGAAAAGCATCAAATGGATGAAAGATATTCTTTTCCACTTCTAATGTAGTTAAAATAGGAACATGTATTGAAATTGATTATTTCCACCTATACCTGGTTCCAAGAAAATTCAGTAAGTAAAATTGTTAACATACTGTACCAATGAGGTGAGCATTTATTTCTTTTGTATAACATAAAGTACCAGACTTTGGAATGTTTCCCAACTGTGCATTCTACTGATGTATTCTTTATTATTTTAAAAAGACTGTTTAAAATGTATATTACCATTATAAAAGCTGTTTGTCCTAAAAGTTTTTATAATTACTAAACAAACCCCCCCAAAAAAACCCCCACCCCTCTCTCCTCTTCTGTCTCTTAAATCTTTAATCTTCTTCCTTATTTACTGGCTCCTTTCCTGTTGCCTACAAACATGCTCTAGGCTCCATTATTACTTAAAATGAAATAAAAAATAAAAACAAAAAAACCCTCCTACTCTTTACTTGACTCTAATACCCCCTTTCTTAAGCTATTTTCCCATAGTTCTCCTCTCTTTGACAGCCAAATTCCTAATAAAAGTTGTACATCCTAGTTCCCTCTTCTTTTCTCACTCATTTAATATGTAATATCACTCATTTTAATAATGTAATATGATAACTCTATAATATTATTTCCAAACTCATCATTGGCCATAATTTACTTATTTGGCCTAATGGCTCAAGTTAAAGCAAATACCTGAGTTTGAGAATTTCTAGAAAATTTATATTCAGGACAATGATATAATCATGAGCTTTACTACTATGATGTGATGCAGCAAGCAGGCAAAGCATATAAACAAAAAAGAGGTTTGTACTCTCCTGCAGGAAATTTACCCAGCCTGAGGGTGAGGGACACATGCGAGGGGGAAGGAATACACACCCAAAGTTGGGGTTCAGTGGCAAGTTTATATACTCTAAGTAAGAATGGGCTTCGTAGAGGACATGTGATTGGTGCCAAATGTAGAAGGGTGCATTCTTAATTAGACTGAAGTGTGGTAGAAAAGTTCTTGGGAGTTCTTTATCGATATCAGACTTAGCTTAGGGAGGGGGAGGTGATGGAGGGAGAAAATTCAGAACTCAACATTTAAAAAAAAATGAATGTCAAAATTTGTCTTTACATATAACGGGAAAAAATTAATTCTATTAAGAAAATTTTTAAAAATCAGGCTTAGGTGAAGCACCGGTAAAACTGGGAGTTTCTTAACTATGTGGGGCAGCAGAAGGAGAATGACACAAGGCCCCTGCAGCAGGTCAAGAGTACACCCAATCAAAAAGCTGCAAGCCTTACCCGACTGACACAGAATTAACAATGGAAAAATACTGACATTGGTTTTGTCCAAATACTTCTATGGGCATTATGATCACTTAGCATAAGTTACTTCATACTGGGAGTCCTATTTTCATTAATTATAACATCAAACTTTAACTGTAACATCTAACAATAACATCAAATGACATAATGTTTACAATTATCACAGTATGATAATTTTTTTTCAAAACATTTTACACTATATTTCCCTTCTTACATATAAAATTAGAGAGAAGCAGGATATTGGAAAAAAAAATTTTTGGCAACTGAGTCAAATTTGTGAGAATAAAAACCATTTCTCAGTTGATAAATGATCAAATGAATGGGCAGTTTGCAGAGCAAGAAATCCAAGCTATCAATGGCCGTATGTAAAAATGCTCTATATAATTAGAGAAATGCAAATTAAAACAACTCTGGGGTCCATAGCTGTTTTGTTACATCTAAAAGGAGGACAATGGTGATTAGTTTTACTTCATATTAATGTGGCTCATGTAGCCTGTAAGTACAGGAGCACTTATTAAGTATCTACTATATGTCAGGCACTGTGCTAAATGCCTACAGAAAATTTAAGTCAAAATTTTCACATGAGTAAAATCACTTATTTTCATTTGTAGGAAAATCACATTAAGAAATAGGATACTTGTGTATATGTGTATACCCACCCTCCCTTATTTCTTCTTGGGCTGTTCCACAAAGGTCATTTTTCTAATGGCTCTAAGAAGTGTACAGAAAGGTGCAATGGAGAAAAAGGAAAGAAATACTGCATTATTTTTCTTTCCCTAGCATCCACTTTGATTGTGATTCTTTTCTTACTGGTCTTACAAAACAGACTAGAATTTGTCCCTTGAACAAGATGGTCATGATAGAGCTATGGATATCATAGTTACTTTTATTTTTATTTAGTAGTTACTTAAGTATTTTTTTATTTATTTTATAGTGGTTATTTTTATAATAATTGCTTTTATGTTAATGCTTAGGAAAATTCTCATTACCAACAATTTTTTCTGTAGTCCCTAAAAAAGTAGAATTATGACAGCAAGAAAGTGCCTTCTACTTCAGTCCAGAATCTTTATTCAGAAATAAAAAAGAATACTTTCAAGAGAGATGGCTTAGTTTCCTCCTTCTAAGTTTACCAAATGCCTTGGCATTTTTGGTAAAACTGAAAAGAACGATATTAAATACAGAAACTTGAGCCTCTAATGGAAATGATCAACCCACTTCAAATATGTCAGGTGGGAATAATTTGGGCTACTTAATTATCACCAACAACAGCTGTTGCCTGCCTCTCCTCCCCTTCCCCGCTGCATGCCCCCCTCCTTGACCTCCCCATCCCCAAGTAGATTCCAGGCAGCTATTTAAACTGCTGAGGATGTGTTCTAAGCAAGCCAGGTAAGGCCCCTCTAATACCAACGCTGGTCAACAAAACTACATTTCTAGGCATGACAGAATGACTGGGCAACTTGTTACACATGGCATCAAACTGATCTTCATAACACTTCTCCTCCAAAAAACTAAGAGAGATCCAATAGTCATAATAAGAGAAGATTAACTTGACTTTTTAAACCATGATGATTCTACTTTCTTCACTCAATCAACAAATATTCATTGCCTACTATATACCTTGTGCTGGCACGGAAAGACAAAAAACAAAAGACCTCACATACAAAGTGGCATGACAGCTGAGTTCGGAAGGAAACTAAGGCCTTTACAAGGTAGAGAAGAGGAAGGAGTGCATCCCGGGCATGGATGACAGTCTGTGCTAGGCAGCGGAGCAGGGAGTCCAGTTTGGTTAGATCACAGAATGCATGAAGGGGTATAATGAACAGTGAGTCTGAAAAGGTAGGCTGGGGCCAAGTTAGAAAACATTTTAAATGCCAAACAGAGAAATTTGTATTTTGTGTTAGAACTACTAGGCAACCACTGGAGGAGCCAGCTGGTCAGATCCATGCTTTAGGAATGTTACTTTGGCAGTTGTGTGGTAGAACTGGAGAGGAAAAGAGACTTGAGCAAAGCAGATAAAAGAAGCTGCCATAGTCAAAGTGGCGGTCATGAGAGTGGAGAGAATGGCATATGATTAATTATAAAGGGTGAAAAAGGATGAGGAGTTAAGGATGACTCCAAGGTTACAACCTGGGTGACTGAAAAAATAGTGGTGGTGCCCTCAACAGAAAAGATAATGAGCTTTGTTTTAGACATGTGGAGTTTGAGATGTTTCTAGGACATCCAGTTCAAATTAGCCAATAGGCAACTAGAGATGCAAGATTAGATCTCAAGAGACAGGTAGGAGAACCAAGAAAGCACAGTCATAAAACCCAGAGGACACAGTATCCAGGAAGAGAGGGTGGTTAATAGGAGAAACTCCTAACCTTTCTGCTGATATTCCTGTTTCAAGTCTCTCCCCAGTAAAGTCAATCCTCTGCTCAGCTGTCACTTTTAGGAAGTGATTTTTCTAAAGCACAAGTTTGTCTATATTATGTCTCTAGTCAATAAATTTCAGTAGCTCCCTATTACCTCCAGGATCAAACAGAAAATTCTTTATCTTTGGATCCTTACTAAGTCTCCAGTCTTCTTACACTTTACTCCCTTCATGTATTTACTGATTTACTGACACTGGCCCCCTTGCTGTTCCTTCCACAAGATATTTAATCTCTTTGACTCTGCTGTTTCTACTGGCTGTCCCTCATGTCTACAACTATCTTCTTCCTTATCTCCTTTTGGCTTCCTTGAAGTCTCAGCTAAAATTCCACCTTCTGTAAGAAGCCTTTCCCATTCCTTTTTTTTTTTTTGTTCAGTTGTCTGAATGATGTCTCCCCCATGAGAATGTGAACTCATTAAGGGCAGAGGTTTTTGGTTTTTATTGTATTTTAGCATGTACATGGTGCCTGACACTTAATAAATGCTTACTGAAGGATGAGAACTGAGAAAAAGCTTTAGACTTGGCAATTAAGAAGTCATTGAAGAGGATGGTTTTAGCTGGGAGGGATCAGAAGCCATACTGGACTGAAAAATAAGTAAAGAGAGGAGGAGAAGATAGCTCGGTCTAGAGGTTTAGCTTTGAATGAGAGAGCTATAGTTGCTTCAGGACCTGTAAGGATCAACTGAGAGTTTTTTTAAAGATGGCACGGGCATGTTTGTAGATAACAAAGAATAAAAGAATGAAAGAGATATGTGATGATTGTGGAGGCCTTCCACTAGAGGAGATTGGATGGGATAAGGGGTTAGCCTTGATAAGGAGAAGGATCAATTCTTATTTCTGGAACAAACATGTTTGTCCAACTAAGCAAATAAATAAAAATACTGAAGAATTCTTAAAATGGACATTTCCAAAATGTATCCTACAAATATTAAGTTGTTGTTATTACCATACCTGTAGCTCCTTTATACTGTGGGCAATCTTTTTTAATATGTCCTTCTCTTCCACAAATAAAACAACGTTTTTCTCTTAAGTCTTTGTCATCTTGTCGCTTCCATTTTTCTAAAGATTGCCTAGAAATTTTGTCTCTTCCCATTTCCAGTACTACCCCTCTTGCTTGTTTGATTTTCTGAGGTGTACACTGTAACTTTCCCTCTTTTACCAACATCTCTCTTTCTGTGTTCTTATTTTGAATTTCTTTGTCTTCTTTGTTTCTTTTTTCGTTGTTTTCAGGGTATCTTTGGTTTTTAATATCTTCATGATCGTGCCGGCGCCTCACTCTGTATAAAAGTATTACAACAGTATAAATTGTAGTTTGAAAAATCCTGGCATTAATCTAAAAAATACACAAGCTCTTTAGAGAAATAATGGACTTAGAGAAGACAGGGAAGATTAACATGAATGAGGTGGTGTGAACAGAACTAGGAGAACATCTTTATACATAACAATTTATATAATAACTACAACACTGAAAAGAACAGCAACCTTGAAAGACTTTAAGAACCCTGATCAATGTAATGACCAACCATAATTCCAGAGAACTAATGAGGAAGCCTGCTACTTACAAACAGTTTATGTGAATTACCAAAGCTGATATATGCCAGACACTGTTAAGCACTTTACAAATATTATCTTATTTAGGGGCAGCTAGATTGCGCAGCGGATAGAGCTCTGGCCTTGGAGTCAGGAGGACCTAAGTTCAAATTCTGTTTCAGACACAAAACACTTATAAGCTGTGTGACCTTGGGCAAGTCACTTAACCCCAACTGCCTCACCAAAAAGCAAAAAAACCCCCCAAGACCCCAACAAATATCTTATTTAATCTTAATTCTGTGAGGTAGATGTTAGTCCTATCCTCATTTTACCGCTGCGGAAACTGAGGCAGCCAGAGATTAAATGACTTGCTCAGGGTCACACAGTTAATGTCTAAGGCTGGTTTTGAACTCAGGATGTCCTGACTCCAGGTCCATTGCTCTACCTAACCATATCACCTAGCTGCCCACATATAACATATAAAAAAGTACAGGACCAATGGTCTTTCCAATAAGTCATTTCTTACTAGTATTTATATAGAAAACACACAATCACATTGGGCTCACAAATGATCAGCTACTGGGGGGCATTCTGCTGTGTTTCAGGGGAGAAAGACAGATTTCTTCAGTCTGCTCATCTGTCATTGGCCTCAACATCTCTGTATTTTGGTTAGCCAGAAGAAATAGGGTAAAGAAAGGCAAAATTTATGTCAAAAAGGGGAAAATACAGTTTTCAATCCAAATGGGATGACCAGTAATTAACAAATTCTTCTATTTAGTACCTAACAGGCAAGAATCAACCTAATCAAAATTTAATCAGACACTACTTTTCTCTATCCTTATATAATCTAGAAATTTAGCATAAGTGTGGTCAAACAGCACTTAATTTGTTCTTTAGGGAACTAAGAGGTACTATAGTCAGGGAATTAACTTAGCTAACATGAACTTACATTCCAGTTATTTGAAGCCTTTTATGGGCCAGATTACTTTTTAAAACCATTTTTAGGGAAGTTTTTTGAAAACACAATACACAATTTCCTGCCTTTTTAAATAGAGTTGGGGGAGGGGGGAAAAGGAGTTAGAACCCATAATTTGATCAGGGTAGGTTACTACTGGTGAGGGAAACCCATCTACTAATGCAACTGTCCTGTAATTTACAGTCTAAAAAAGAAATGCTTGGGACACATCAACAATGTCAGTATGTATGAGAATGAACACTTAAACCCAAGTCAGATTACGAGTCTGGTATTCAATCCGCTATACCTTTATATATGTAGATAATTTTCTCTTGATATCTCAGGAATGACTCCTGATTTACAGCAATTGACAGACAGGTATATATTCTATTTAGGTATGTCGAGTTCTTCACCCTTACACCAAAAAACCTTTCTAGCTTCTGAATTTGTATGCCTGACTTTTGTTTTCTTATAATCTTTTATAGGAAGACATTAACACTTCTTTTAACTTGCTTACTTGTATCTATTGCAGTCCGAGAAACCAGCTAACTATGATTTTTATGACTATACTACAAGATGTGATGAGAACTCTTTAGGTAAAATATATGAGCCTTACTTAATGCATATACTTTGTGACATCTCTTTTGGCTGCTCTTAAGGGTTTTTCTCCCCACTTGTTTTCTGGATCTTGGTTATATTAGCTATTATGGTTTACAAAGTGCTACTAACATCATTTGGGCTATGCAATGATTAGAAAACGCAAAGAATAAGCTATTTTCCTTGGTTTGAACACAGAAATAGAGGTTGCCAATTATATAGTGCTGTAAACTAATATATGCCAAAATCTTCCACTTAACTTTGAGGCCACCGTGTTACCTGGGTTCAATGTGGCTCAGAAACCAAAGAATCACTATCTGAAGCTGGAAGGAAGTGATCTAATCTAACCTCCTCACTTTAAAGATGAGGAAACTGAGGCTTATGGAAGATAAGGGACTTTAGGAAGCATCCGAGCTGAACCTTGGGGCTCTGGCTCCAGAGGCATTCAGTGCTTTTTCCATTGTACAATAGCAGCCAGTACAGTCAATTTTACATATAAGTCGAGGCAACTGGAAACCAAATAACAAAGCATTTAACTGAAAACACAAGCCGATGGCCTCTTCTGGTATCCTTGCTACTAGGGCAAACTCTTCATCCCCCTTAAAATATAAAGAGTTTTTAAAAAAGCACGGAGTAAATTTACACAGAAAAAGCTGCCTGCAAAACTACAACTTAACACAAATACAACTTAACTGTTCCTGAAAGAAAACTTCCTGTCTCTTATGGCTCAAAGTTACCTCAAACAGTCAGAAAGATCAGTTCTGTGTCTGGCTGCAAATACCCCTGATTTACTAAACCCAAGGTGGTGCCACTGGAATTCAAAACTCATAGAACCCACTGACACTGTGTAAGGAACCTCTTCTTCGTGGGACACCCTTTCTTAAATCACTGACATTCTTTGCCAGACCTGAACAATCTGAATTGTAAAGTACCTTTAGCCACAGATGGGAAGAGGCTATTATGTTAGCAGAAAATCAAAATTATTCTTTGCCCTATGTAATCAGTTAGAACTATTTGAGTCAAGGTTGAATAAATAAACTATCTGTCTTAGAACAGAACACTATGAATTCCAGGTGCTTGTTCCAAATATGTTGACCGGAAATGCAGAGTTTGCATGAAGCAAAAAACTTTGGCTTTAGTTAATATAAAAAATATGAATTATTTAACTTTTGATAATCCAGGTGAACAATGGAAAAGCTTTGGTTCATTTTAGCACAGATAACTAACCAAATGAGCTAAAATAAGGTCCATGAAAACCTGTTTTCTTAATAATACTAAGACATTATTTATACCCACACAAACTACTTCTTGTGGTCCTCAATAATTTTTAAGACTGTAAAACGTCCTGAGACCAAAAAATTTGAGAATTGCAAATATATTTAACCTTTAAAATGGATATTCCTATAAATGATCAAATAATTCCACACCCCCTGTGTAATAGGGTATGACTAAGGCAGCAAGGCTTCTTGGAAAAAGCTCTGTACTTAGGAGTGAGGAGACACGAGTTCAAATCCCACATTCACATTTACTAGTTGGTGACCATGGATAAGTTACTGAACCACCTTTACTCTGTTTCCTCTGCTGCAAAACTGAAACAAGAACACTGGCAATAGTTACTTCATACTGTTAGAACAGGATTAAAAAGGAGGATGTACTTAAAAAGCTTTTTTTGCAAATCTTAAAGTTCTAAATAAATGTCAGTTATTATTAAATATATACCTTGCATATTATAAATAAGAAACATACAAAACAAACTCTTACTCTTCCTATATAAAGAATGTGACATAATAGAAAAAGTGAATACAAGTTAAGTAATGAAGATCTGAATAGGGGTAAATTTGAGTTCTTTTTTTTTTTTCTTCTTCTTTTCTATCTCCCGATAATACTTAATAGAACTATGACTTACAATGGGGAAAGCTTCAGGCAAGGGGGTAAAAATAGGTGGCCTGGACTTTTTTCACCTGAATAATGAGAAATGACTGAATATTTTCAAGGAGTTATAATTTATCTGTTTTAACTAAGAATATAACTTTTAAGTATATCTTACTTTTTCCTAAATGTTAACATAATTTATACAACTAGGGCTTTTTCTAGTTCTCTTTTTTTTTTGGGGGGGAAATACTTATCAAAATATATTTTTTTCAATTAATAAGTATTTATTTCCACCCTCTCTCCCCTCATCTCTACACCTTGTAAAAATATGAATAATCAAAACAAATTCCTACACTGGCCATTTCTAAAAATATATTCCTCTTTTTATATCTTGTTGGAGTTCCTAAGTTTTTCAAGATTGTTTTTCTTTACAATATTGTACTTTACTGTATAAATTGTTCTTCTGGTTTTGCTTATTTCATTCTGTATCAGTTCACAGAAGACTTTCCAGGTTTATCTGAAATTATCCCTTTAACAATTTCTTACAGGGAAATAGTATTCTATTATATGCATATACCACCATTTGTTCACCCATACTCTAACTGATGGGCATCTTCACAGTTTATAGTTCTTTGCTGCTTCAAAAAGCATGTGTATGTACACACATACATATGTACACACGTGTGTATGCATACATATATATCACTACAAAAAGAACTTTTATGTATACACGTATATATACTCACATGTACATATTAATACTAAGACATGCAAAGTTTTGTTCTCATGGACCTTTTTAACTAATTTGGTCAATTATCTGTGCTAATGTGTGTGTGTAAGTTCTTTTTGTTGTGGCTAGCTATATATGTGTATCTATATTTGGACACATGGGTCCTTTTCATCTTTCTTTGATTTCTTTGTAGTATAGACCTAGTAACGTTATCACTGGGTCAAAGGGTATGAACAGTTTAATGACTTTTTGGGAATGGTTCCGTATGGAACTGCTGTGGCTCAATTCACAGCACTGCACACCAATAATGCATTAATATGCCCATTTCCCAGAAGCCCCTCTAACAACTGTCATTTTACCTTTTCTGGTCATCTTCACTAATCTGATAAGTGGAAGGTGGAACCCTGGAATTGTCTCAATTTGCATTTCTTTAATTATTAGTGACTTGTAGCATTTTTTCATGTGGCTATTGATGGGAAGCTAGGTGGTACAGTGGACAGGTCGCTGAGCCTGGAGTGAGGAAGACCTGAGTTCAAATCTAGCCTTAGACACTTACTCGCTGTGTGACCTTGAGCAAGTCACTTAACTGTGTTTACCTCAGTTTCCTCATCTATAAAATGCGCTAGAGAAGGAAATGACAAACCACTCCAGTGCCTTTGCCAAGAAAACCTCAAATGGAGTCATGAAGAGTTGGAAATGACTGAACAATAACAACTGATGGCCTGAATTTCTCATCTTGGGCATCTTAAGCTCATTTTTATAAAACCGAATAAAAGGAAAACAAAATACAAATAACAAAACCCCTCTTTTTAAAGTAATAACTTACTTTCTCCGCATGGGACAGTCTTTCATAAAGTGTCCAATTTTACCACAAATTCTGCAACATCTGTCATTTGGTGCCAATTCTCCTTCTGTTAATACTTCTGGATCAAAAAAATATTCCTAGAAGAATACAACTTAGTGAGATTCTGAATTAGGATCAATTTGGAAACTCAGGGGTCTTGCGTATTAGTCAGCAGCATTAATTTCTATTTTCAGTAGCAATAAGCATTCATTAAATACCTACTTTGTTGTAGGTACTATGCTAAGCACTAGGGATGAAAATACAAAGAAAACAATCTTAACTCTCAATGACCTTATAGTATATTGAGGAAGACACATGCATATGAATGTGATAAATATAAAGAGAACAAATACAAGTAAATATTAAGTATTTAAATATAAGATAGTTTGGGGTGGGGAGGAGATGAAGGGAATAAGCATTTATATAGCACCTACTATGTGCCAGGCATTGTGTGAATTTCTTTACAGATATATCATCTCATTTGATCCTTACAATAACCCTGAGAGGATGTGCTGTTATTCCCATTTTATAGTTGAGGGAACTGAGGCAAACAAAGAAGTGACTTGTCTGGAGTCACGTACCTATATACACATACACATACATACATAAAAATACTAAGACATTATGAAAAGTTTTGTTCTCATGGACCTCTTTAGCTAATTTGGTCAATTATCTGTGCTGTGTGTGTGTGTGTGTGTGTGTGTGTCTGTCTGTCTGTCTGGATTTGAAATGATTATCTACTAAAAGAAACCCCAGAAAAGTCCCAGGAACATCAAAGTCAAAATCCAGAGCTTCTATGTCAAAGAAAAATATTGCAAACATCTAAAAAATAGTAAGTGGTATGGGACAGATTCATGGTTCCATGTATAATTCTCTCTTTCTGTTCACACTGTATTTGGAGATGCAGAGTTAAGATCATAATAAAAAATAAAACAAATTTTTTAAGAATGCATAAGGAGAACATTTTTATTTCCTTTAACCACAAAGGTTATTATTTAGTAGAATTTAACATTAATGCATAGCACCCTTCTAAAGGGCACAGTTCTAAATCTCAAATAGCTGGTGAAAGACTAACAGATCATTTGCTTTGAATGAGTGACATTGCAACAATCATAATAGCGTTAAGAGGCTTAATTCTATCATAACTATGTGGGAAATGAAACTTTACTGGTCTATCCCCGTGCCTAAATAAACCTCTCCTCATCTTCCGGCATCATTTCCCCCATCACTACATGTAAAAAACCTGACATATTGGATCTGGCTAAGCTGAATATGAAAGGAAGAGCTGGAGGTATAGCATTGTGCCCAATCACCAATCTGGAAAAGGCGATACACGGTTAATGACCAACAGACTCAGATGCTGGTGACCATTTATTCACACCCTAAAATTTTGACTCCTGAGAACAAGCAATAATTACAGTTCACCCTCCCATTAATCATAAACAAATGGTACAAAAATAAAATTTCTCTGGGAATAAATTACTACTCTGAGCCTTAACTTGAATATAAAAATTAGATTTTCAGAGTATTCAACTATTATAATCAACACGAATTTAAAGAATATGCTTTTCAGAAACTTCTATTAATAGTTATTGACATTATTTCCAAAACTGATACTTACCATTTTTGAAGGATATTCTTTAGGGAATCCTTTTACTGGGATACCAAACACTCTTCTACCATTGATAAAAGCCTTCATTATAAAATTTGTCACTAAGAAGATGGAATAAGAAAAAAAGGTTAGACATATTAAAAGAAGAACAGAATTTAATACATTTCCAAACAAAATAACTTACTTTTTCTTGATAATCCAGCACCAAGATTATGATTCAAATCAAAGGGATCTAAGTGAAGAAAATTTTAAAAGGGACATATTGTAAAGATTAAGACTTTTACTTTATTAAAAAAAAATCTGTTTTCATTATCAGAGTTTATAATCTAAAAGAAAAAAACAGCTAAACAAATACAGAGAAGGGAAAAGAAGCAGTAGATGAAATATATCTACTCAATTCACAAGAAAACCATTAAGTATTTCCCTCCCTCTTCCTCATTTCATTTGCTACTTATAGTTAGAGAATATGCATAGGATCAATTTGCTTTCACCTTAATAACAAATAAAAGTATTCTCCCTCAGAAAAAAACCTCTCCTATAAAAATGTGTCTCTGCTATACAAATGATTTTAGTTTTGAAGTTCCTATTTTCCATATCAGATCTGTTATCAGAAGATTGAGAGAAATGAGAACTCAAATCTATTGTTCTATGTTATGAAAAACTAGAACATTATTAAAAATATTTATAACCTTTGTGGGCTAAATTCTACATTAAAATTTAACAGAACTGGGGGCTATTGTTATTTTAATTTTGGTACTAATTTTGAGAATACTGTACTATATTATATTAAAGAGAATCAATGATGGAAGGATGTTGTAAAAAACATGTGGGTCATGTGTCATCAATTCTTTTACTTTTTTCTTAAGCATGCTATATCAAACAAATCAAGGTTTCTGAGCAGAAAAATCTGTTCACATTACAAAATCCATGAAAAAAATTACATGTTACAAAATCCATGAACTATACATAAATTTGGGATTGAAGAACTCTCTTATAAATTCTATTTATTCTAATTTTAGACAAAATACTACCAAACTTTTTAAATTAACCTTTGTTTGATGATTCATGGTTATTAATATAAATGTCAATTATTATCAAAATTGGTAAATGAATAATATCCTCAATGTTTTATTTTTAGCATGTCAATTATATCCCTTAAAGATTTGTTTTTAATTTCACAAAAACCTGTTAGCTATCTGCTCTAAGAAATGGTCACTCATTTTAGTAAAAACAGGAAGCAACATACATTTTCCTGTTCCTTTCTGTTGCTAGTATAAAACCAACATATTAGATAATGTTGCTTAATGTTACAGATTCCAACTATGATCATGCCCTGGTTGTCTCAGCACCCTGCATTGTAAAATCAGTCACTATTACTGTTTATACTTCATGTTTAGAGGAATAAACAGCTTTACAATACAGCCTTAAGCCTTATACATAACATATCAACAATAAAACTGAGGTACTCAAAATAAGTCCTAACATAAAAACGTTGAAAGTGAAAAAACATATAGCACCAAGCCCTCTTGCTGTCTGATAACCTGTATTACCTATTACGCACATTACAGAAGAAGACTCTGGCAATCTGGCTAAAGTTCTTGTCAAACAAAAATGGTTTTTAATGCATCTAACTTTATAATTCAGGTCATTCTCTTGCATTTTTCTACATGTTCCCCATCTTTCCTCACATCTTTGCCTAGTAAAACTTGTACAGATCATTACTGTACACTTAAATGAGTTAAGAGTTGTAACATATAAAGCTAAGGACTTAAATGTTCCATTTTAAACAATGTTTGCTACTGACCCATTTCCATAGAATTAATGGAATGTTAGAAAAGGAACAGGCCTTAAAGAGAATCTAATCCAATTCTTAAAATTTTAGAAATGTGATACCAGACACAGGATAACAATGAACCTCTAAATTCTCTAAGTTTAAGGTATGCCATTTTTGAAAGCGAATTTGACACATGCAGCCCTTAAGCTTTCACCAAATATATATGAAAATAGATACTTATTTAGGTAAAATGTGTTAACAATCATCATTAAACCGATTTTTAACAATAATGTCCATAACATAATTTGTATTCTACATGTAGTATTCTGCAGTCAATTCTACACAGAGTTTTGATGTGTACCTTCAATAACAATGTATTTTGAGGTCCACTGCTTCTTGAAAGTTGTAAGCAGACTTTTTCTCCTGATACAAATAACATGTTCTTTAAAATCAAATTCTTCTGTATAGAATCGAAGAAGTCCCAACCATAGCTCCCCAACAGACTCTGTATTTTTTCCATGTTCTGGCCAAAAGGCTGGCTAGAAGTCACCAAGAGAAATATGTCATGTTCTTTCAAGGCATTAAAAACAAATAACTCATAACTTTATTCATATCTACTTAGTCCAAATCAGAAGACTGAATGGCTTTTCTTACATAATTTAATTAAAGCTTTTCTTTCATGTTTTAGAAGATAGTCTTCAATAATTTATTAATTTTTATACTATCCCTTTGAGGTATTAAAGAAAAATCCTCACTTTTAAAGACTATATCCCAGAACACACAGCTTACCAGTGAAAGAACCAGAAATACATTTCAAGAAATTTCATTTTTAGTCTATAAAATAGATCTCTGTGCTTCAAAGTAGGTCTCCTTAAACTCTGGTAAAAAATTATGAGACAACATGTTCATCGAATCTTCAGTCCATACAGAATGGCTTGGCTATAAATAGTTAGTATTAAAACAACTCTCTCTCTCTCTCTCATCTATCTTTAGTGTTCACTGAACCAGAATGAAAGAATTTTTTTTCCATTCCAACTTAAACAATACATTCTGGTAACTTTTAATTGTACGGTTAAGCTATGCTACCCAGTTTTAGATCATTTACCGAAATGATTAATTCATATTTTAAAATATTTACATTGATTTTATTATACTTGCAAATACAAGAAAAAGAATTACCCTGAAAATACCTACCAATTCACTTATTCGATCAAAAAAATAAGTGTTCCAACCATCGACAATTATTTCAGGTCTTTTCTCCTCTTCGTATATCTAAAATTGATTTTGGAAATATTCATTCAATTCAAACATTTATTAAGTACCTAAGGCATAATGCTAGGAGTTTGTAATCTAGGGAAGGGGAGACTATCACATGCACATAAATATAATACAAATTAAAGTATGATATATTCATAGGAGAAGCAAAATGGAGTATCATGAAAGATTAGAAGAACGTGAAATTGCTTTTGGTTAGGGGTAGGGAGAGGGAGATGTATGGTTAGGGAAGGTTCTATGGAGGAGATGCAGCCTGAACTGGGCCTTAAGGGAAGGGGGAAGGAGGGGGGGGGGAGAGAGAGAGAGAGAGAGAGAGAGAGAGAGAGAGAGAGAGAGAGAACGTTTGTGTGTGTTCACTACCAGCATGAAGGAACAGCACACACAAGTACAGTAACAGAGGAGGAGAGATGTAATCACAGAATAGCTAGTACTCCAATGAGGACATAAGAATGTGTGGAAGGGTTCTCAGAAAGGATCCCTCTACCGTCCCATATTACAGAGGGGGGAAGTAAAGCACAGAAGTCAGTAACCACCGAGCACTTTGAGGTTTTCACAGTACCAGGCATGTATGATCTCATTTGACTCTCACAACTATCATGAGAGGGTGGCACTATCATCCTTATTCTGCAGAGTAGGAAACTAAGATTCACAGAATTTCAGTGACTTGCTTATGGTCATGTATCTGCTAAGAGCATGAGGCAGGATTTGAACCTAGGTTTCTCCTGACTCTAATCCATGGCTTTCCACTACTTTCCCAATGGCAGAATGAAGGCAGATTATGGAAGGCTTGATATCCTTTATCTTTTATGCAACGGGGAGGCCCTGAAAATCTTGAACAAGGGGAAGAGACAGCATTAGATATGTACATTTAGAAGATGACTTGGGCAGTGGTGTTAAGGACAGATTACTGTTGTTTGTCCTTCGCTCTCAAAGAGGAAAAACCTCAATGAATTAAGTTCAAAATTTGAACAACGTCTTTCAGGAAAATTATATTAAAAGGCTAACTGAAGAACCATGGAATTTAAGAGTAAAAAGGGGATGCTGTGATTATACTGTTCATCAGTCCTTCCTTCCCCTACCTCTTGAAGAACAGGAATAATTGGTGGATTCCTTTGTTGTAGGAAGTAGAGCACCATAAGAGTATATGCATATGATGACAAGCTTCCTCTTGATGCATCGCCAATATCACACATCTACAGGGAATGGAAGAAGGAAAAATGGAATCAACAGCCTTTTTTTTTTTAAAAATTGAATTGACATGTATTTTTTCTGCATGAGAAGCCTGAGTATGATAGCTTTTATTTGGGGAACAAAATGAAAATAATATATCATTCCCAAAGCACTAGAATATAGAAAAGTTGGACAAAAACACATCTAATACAAAAACATATATTTAAATCATATGAAAATTCTAAAAAATCATAGTAGTTTGGATAGATGATAGACTTTAGATATCTTACTTCTGCACAGCAATTTACAGTTTACAAAATATTTTCACATATAGTATTATCTCATGTGAGTTTTGCAAAGCTATATGAGGTAAAAGGAGGTAAGCAGAGCATTATATTACCTTTATTTTACAAATGAGGGAATAGGCAAGTGATTTGCCCAAGGTTTTATAGCTAGCAAGTAAGTACTCAAGACCAGGTGATCTTAATCTAGTTCGGTTTTTCCCATGCAACCACCCTATAATAAGTTGTAGCTATTTAAAGGAAGGAGATAACACTGGTTCTAGCTTCTACTAAAATTTTTAAACAATTTATAGTGGTCACAGAAGTCATTTGAAAGAATAAGACAATTTTATTTCCTAATAATTCATAATGGACATTCTTTTATATTACTCACCTTTGTAAATACCTTCATAGTATAGCACAAATATTTCACTCTGAGATCAATGGTGGAATAAGCAGCTAAAAGCCTGGTATTATGAAGGGCCTGTTAAAAAGATCAGAAATTACACTGTAGGGCAATCATACATTTGAAGAAAAAGAGCTTCCAATATAGGAGGCAATGATCAATGAAATTTCATTTTAGAATTAAAACTTGTTCAATATACAAGATGAAATGTAAAAGAAAAATGGTCAAGAATTAGGGAAATGCCATAGTATATAGGCCTTAAAAGAGTGATGACTCTTTTATAACAGTTTGTTAATTTATTTTTATTTTAAACATATAATCTAAGATATGGGATGGCAGAATCAAAACACTTTTCCATTTAAACAGCAGAAATGCTTCAAGAAATGGCAATATTTAAATTAATGCTAATATGAACAACAACAAATTCTAAACGCCTGGGGAAATGAATTCTTGCTTCTCTACAAACTAAGGAAAATATTTGGAGAGAATCTTACCAATGTGTTATACAAACTGATATCCACTTCCAGACCACTTCTCACATGGAAGAACTTGACAATTGGTACTTTTGCTGTAGTAATGGGCAAGACATTTCTGAGCCCTAGGATGGAAAATTTAATTTAACACTATCATTTAATATGTTATCATTTAACATAATTTAATATAATAGCAACATTATTTGAACAGCCCACAGATAGAAATTCATCTTAATAAATTAGTATTGTTCTGCAATTAAACTTGACCCCATCCTATATCATTTCATTTACCTTGGTTAAACACAGAAAATGTGGAGCACAATAATTAGGAAAAGTCTTTTGTGTTTATTTTTGTTTATTTCCCCAATACAAAATTTTCTATCATATCAGACAAGTCTATTTTAAACACAGATTTAAGTTTTATTTGCTTATAAAAAAAGGATTAAAGACAGGAAAGAAAAGAAAAAGAAAGCCATTTGAAAACAAACGCAACTAATTATTTGGTGATACCTGGTTTCCCCCACCTAGAAAAGCAAACACAATGGATAAAGCAATTTCCCTGTTTGGGAACATTCATCTGTCTTTGAAGAATGTCAATGAAAATGCCAAATGTGATAATCTGTGGGCAAATTAGGGAACTGATTGAGAGCACCAATTCAATTCACTTGCTCCCACACTTTCCCCTTTCTCTTCTAGTATGTTTAATCCTTTCATTCCACTGACTCCATTTCCTTTTTAAATTTTCTGCCTTTAAATATACACAATTCTCCCCTATTTTGCTGAAAAAACAAACAAACAAACAAACAAACAAACAAACAAACAAAACCCTCCTCTTTGATCCTACTGCCCCTTCTGGCTATTAAAAGATTCTATTTTTTTACCTTCCTTTTATTGCCAAACTTCATGGAGTGGTCTGCGCTAACACCCTCCATTTCTTGACTCTTCTTCCTTAATTTTTCTACTATTTGGCCATCCCTGCCACTTTATAGAATTAACTCTCACAAGTTATTAATGACCTCTATAAGTGTTTTGCTTTTTCTCTGTCCTCACTATTTGTGACCAAAGATATGACATCGTTTCCTCCCTTTACTTTCATGACACTATATAAATCTGGCTCTTATCCACTTCTCTAATGCCTTAGTTTTTCTCCCTAACTGCTCTTCTTTTTCCTATCACAGGGAATGTTACTCCAGGCTCACTAAACATTTTTCTGTTTTGATATTCTTCAAGGCTCAACTATCATTCCTATTTAGATGAATTCTCTATCTTCAGCCCAAATAAATTCTAGTACCATGCCTCCAATTGTCTAGTGGAAATTTCCACATGGATGTTATATTTTCACCATGAACTCTTTCCCAAATTAGAGCCCTATTACAGCTTCCATATTTTGGTCAAAGCACCACCAGTTACACATTTATCACTTTGGGCACACCTTTTCTTTATCTCCTACAACTACAAACAATTTGTAGTCTTTAAGATCTACAACTCTAGTCATTGTACCTGTTAAGTCTTCTAAGGATCCCTGCACAGTCTTCTAACTGGGCTCTGTCAATCATCTGATTCATCCTGACTTCTGCAAGATGAATTTTCTTTAAACACTTACTCTGCTGTGCAAAAACTCTTCAATAACTACTACTCACATTCATACAGGGTTTTATACAACTACCCAGGACCTTAAGGATTAATTAAGTTCAAATTACTTAATCTGATCAGAGAATCTATAGTAATAATCAGAAGGGATCACGGAGGTGATTTAGACCAACTCTTACTTGAAATATATTTTTCCTAAATAACTTCATTCAGTCTCTTCAAAAAAGATCTTCAGTGATTGAGACTATTCTACCAGGTAGCTCATTTCACTTTTGAACAGCTCTAATTGTTATTAAATTCTTCCTTATACTGGGCCAAAATCTACTTCCCTGAAACTTCTATACACTAGTCCAAACATTCCCTCCTGGAGCCACACTGAATAAGTATAATCTCTCTTCCAAATAACAACTCTTCAAGTTATCTTCAAACAGTTAACTATGTCTTTTCAATCTTCTAGTTACCATGTCACTTCCATTTTCTTTAAGCTAAACACTACTACTTCGTTTAACTATTCCTTATATATTATTTTAAGTTTCCTCATTAGTCTGGTCAACCTTCTCAGGACATGCTCCAGTTTGCTAATGTTCCTCTTAAAAAATGTAGTTTTGGGGGCACCTAGGTGGTGCAGTGGACAGAGCACCAGCCCTGGATTCAGGAGGACCTGAGTTCAAATCCGGCCTCAGACACATAAAACTTACTAGCTGTGTGGCCCTGGGCAAGTCACTTAAGCCCACTGCCTAGCAAAAAAAAAAAAAAAGAAAGAAAGAAAAAGAAGGAAAAAAAATGTAATTTTTAAGACCTTTTCTCCCACTATTCTTCCAAATGAATCTTCTGCTACAGCCAGGTCAATCTTTTGGAACGCTCTTCCCTTCCCAATCTTAACCCCTTGGTGAACCAGTTTAGTTCTACATTATCTCCTATTCTTGAACCCCTTGCTCATTTGTCCTGTTACCAATTATGCCTTTCTAAAGCCTAACCCTATAATACTCTACTATCTGTCTCCTTCAACTCTTATTCATATGCTGCTGAATGGAGTAGTAGAAGTTGCTAAACTGCCAACTGAGTCCACTACAAATTTATATTATCTAATCTCAACTGGGCTTTCACTGTAGCAAGGCATTTCTTTACTCTAATTGATTTTCTTTACTGCTCATCACGGTAGCTGTTCCAACCTTCCTCATCTCTCTGTAAGCCTCCTACAGCACTCCAGTCTGCTCATCTTATTAACTATAAACACACATTTTACAAAAAAAAAATATTGAAGCCATTCACTGAGAGATCATTCTTTTCCCCTTTCCCTCATCTCACACCCCCTCTAACATTGTTCTCTCACATTTTTCTTCACTTTGTCTCTGAAGAGGCAGACCTACTCACTACGAAGGCCAACTCCTCTATATGCATCTTTGATCACTTCTCCTCTCATCCACTCAACAGACTGTCTCCACTGTCAACCCCACTCTCTCTCTCTAATCTTCAGTCTCTCCTCTACTGACTTTTTCTCTGCTGCCTAAAAACATGTCCACCTCCTGTTGAAATTTAAAAAACCCTTACTTGATCCTGCTAGCTATTATCTTATCATCTTTCCTCCTATTAGCTAAACTCTTTGAAAAAGCCTATGCTACATGCCTCTACTTCCTTTCCTCTCACTTTCATCTAAAGCTGCAATGTGATTTCCAGCCTAGTTATTCATTTCAAACTTACTCCAAAATTCCCAGGTATCATTTAATTGCAAAATCTAATGGTCTTTTCTTAATTCTCATCCGTTTTGACTTTTGCAGTATCTGACATTGATCACCTTCTCATGTCTGACTACTCTTTTATCCAGTCTCCTTTATGGGTTCTTCATCCATGTTATGCTCACTAACTGTGAGTGTACCCCAAGGCTCTAGGCTGGGTCCTCTTCTTTTTTCTCTTTATGCAATATAGTAATATATTATCATAATATATTATAGTAATATATGGTGGTCGCATAGCTTTCCTGGGTTCTACCATCATCTATATACAGATGAATCTCAGATTTATATATCCTAGATCTAGTTCCTCTTCTGAGCCACAGTCCCAAATGCTTATTGGACATTTTGAACTCAATGTCCTGTAGATATCTCAAACTCAACATTTCCAAAACAGAACTTAATATGTTTCAAACAAAACCACGCTGTTTTCTATTCTTTCCCATTATACTACTATCCAGGGCACAACCATCCTCCCAGTGGCACAGGTTTGCCATTCTAGTGTCATCTTCAACTCATTTGTCTATCTAATTATTTGTCAAATCTTGTCATTTTAACTTTCAACAATGTCTCTGGTATAAGTCCCCTTCTCTCTACTCACCACTCTAGTTCAGGCCCTCATCAACTCCTGCAAAAGCCTTGGTCAACCTGCCTCAAGGTTCTACTCCATCATTCACTCAGTTGCCAAAGTGATTATCTTAAAGCATAAATGTGACCATGTCATTCAACCCTATTCAATATACTTCAATCTATTACCTCCAGGATCAAATATTCTTTGCTTGATATTTAGAACTCTTTACAGCTTTGTTCCTTCTAACTTTCCAGTCTTCTGACACTTTTACTCCCCTTCTACAGACTCTATGATCCAGTTATATCACCCTACTTGCTGTTTCTCAAATATGACACTCCATTTCTTGCCTCCATGTCCCTGCAGTGGTTGTCTTGATGCCCAGAATTTTCTCTCTTCCTCTTAGAATCCCTGGTTTCCTTCAAAACTCACTTCAAATGCTACTTTTTTCCCCTTTTTAGGCAACTGGGGTTAAGTGACTTGCCCAAGGTCATACAGCTAGTAAGTGTCAAGTGTTTGGTTGAGGCTGAATTTGAACTCAGGTTCTCCTAACTTCAGGGCTGGTGCTCTATCCACTGCGCCACCTAGCTGCCCCAAATGCTTTTTATAGGAGACCTTTCCTAGTCCACCCAGTCACTACAACCTTTCCTTCTAAGGTTATGTTCCACCTACTCTGTATATGTCATAGGTACCTATTTATTTACACGTTGTCTCTCCTGTTACAATGTAAGCTCCTTGAAGGCTACAGACTATTTTTGCCTTTCTTCATATTCCCAAGGCCTAGCATATAATATTCAGTGTGTGCTGAGTAATTACTAAGGTTATCATTCTTGTTCCACTCACCCTGGAACACTCTCCTTTAACCTCTTTTCCATTTCAAGTTCTATTACTTTCATGACTATTCCAAGATCATGTGGTTTCATTCCATAACAATCCCCTCTTCTCTGAACACATCGACTGATGCTCATTTTTTTCATGTACCTCACTTCCTCAATGAGACTGTTAAGATGACCAAGGACCACAAGTAGGACCATGCCGCTATTTCTTTTGTAGTCCCCTATCCCTCCAGTGGTTATTATAGGGATTTATGTATAGTAGATGTTCAATAAATATTGCTGAATTGAATAAAAATAAATAGTTTCAAATCTATTTAGTTCCTTTGAGCCCATCCCTTCTTGAATCCTCCAAATCCTTGCTTGAATAACTTCATCTTTTTTTTTTTTGGCTAGGCAATGGGGTTAAGTGACTTGCCCAGGATCACACAGTGAGTGTTTTGTCTCTGAGGCTTGATTTGAACTCGGATCCTCCTGAGTCCGGGGCCAGTGCTCTATCCACTGCGCCACCTAGCTGCCCCCAAATAACTTAATCTTTGATCTCTCCCTTTTTCCAGGCTTCTTTACCTTTGTCTATAAGGACAAGTTTCTTTTCTTAAAGAAAACAAAAACCCATCCACTGTCACTTGATCATGTCAGCCCCATTCACATTAACATCTTATCTCCATTTCTATTACTCTTTCCCCCTAACTCCCCTTATTACTTAATTGCTAGAAAGGATAGTTTATATTCGCTGTCTCTTTTTCTTTACCACTAAATCACTCCTCAAACTCCTGCAATCTAGTTTCTGTTTCTACCACTCTACAATTATTTTTTCCTAAGGTTATCAGTGACCTCTTAATTGCCATATTCAATAACATTCTCAACCTTCATTCTTGATTTTTTTGTTCCATTTGATACTGCTAACCACTCCCTCCTTATTGACGTCTGTTACAATGCTCTGTTCTAGTTCCCTTCCTACCTGTCTGCTCCTTTTCAGTATTATTCACTAAATCATTTTCTTCTTCTTAATGGTTGAATTTGACAATATCATATTTCTGATCAAAAACTTTCAGTGGCTCTTCACTGCCTATATTTTAATATGATAGGAAGAGTCTGATCCTCTACAATCTATCTTTAATCTACCTTTTTCCCCATGGTTCACTCTACTCCACGTAAAAATCTAGCTAAAACAGACTATTAGCTATTCATTGCCCTCACTTGCCTTTTTTCCCTTTTCTCATTGGTACAAGCTGGCCTTCAAACCTGGAAAATCCTCTCTTCATCTGTCTACCTTTTGAAATTCTCTTCCTTCAAGGCCCATATAGCATGTTCTAATAGCATATTCTCCATAAAGCCTACCTTGACCATTGTAGCTAAAATGACTTTTCCTTTTCATATTTCTAGTAGCACCATTTGGATGACTCCTTTGCTCTTATTACACTCTGACTTACACTATATGTAGCTGTGTACATGTTATACCATCACTATTAGAACATAGTTCCTTAAAGAAAATAACTCTCCCATTTCAGATACTGACTAGCTGGGTAAGACTCTGTGCCTTAGTTGCCTTGGCTGTAAAATGAGAGGGCTTTGAGGTTTCTCCTAGCTCTAAATTTGTGATCCTATGATTATGTCTCTTTGCATATATTTCTAAGGCCTTTGCACATAGAAAGTGAATCATAATTATTTGTATTAAGAATGAATCTGTCTAAACTTGATCAATAGTAGGAAAAAATATATTTTTTTTGCCAGAATTCTGTAGCCATCATCATATTCCTGATTTACCCAATACTTTGTATATATCCTTAACTTTTAACATTAAATATTTGCATAAGAAATTCTTGGGTAAAGAAAGACTGATTGTAGGCTATGGTTCACATTAAATATTCAATGCGAAATTTGTTGAGTAATTTGCATACTCTCAGCCAGTTGCCTAGTCTAACTTTACAAATGCCATTCTTCAAGAGCTTTATCAATCTGGAAGAAGAAACTTTCTAGTTTGTTTCTCTGGGAAGGGGAAATTTTTATAATTTCATCAAATGTAGTTTTACTAGAAAGCATAACCCTATAGAATTCATACACACTATCTGGAAGTAAAAATATTCCCCCATTTGAAATAAATTCTCAGTTTCCCAATGATCAGACCTAATTATGTCTGTGTACATATATGAAAAACCAACTGACACTCACGCTAACTTTCAATTCCACTAGAAACATGGGGAGGAAAAGATTTAAGATTTGTCCAGTTACCCCAATGACAGGTAAAGTCTTTATTCAAACTCCTAGAAATAAAGAATACAAAGGAAAAAAAGACTTTAACTCTTATAGCAGTTGTATGCACTATGAATTTAAGCATTACAACCATGCCTGTCTTTAACTAAAAGTATGAAAAATAGTTCAATGTACTTTATGAAGGGAAAATAAGTTTACCAGTGTTGTTTATAACAATAGTGGTAACTTTAAACTGCTGCTAAATATTTAAGGACAAGTAGATGGCACTTTAAACTTATTTGAGATGAATAAATTCTATACTATGTTTAGCCCCAGGTAGGTAAAAGCATAAGCTGTTCCAAACTAACATGCCATGCCTCTCTGGTACCTGTCTTGTAATGAACTGAAACCCAAGTCACTGAAAGATGCACACAAAATATCACAGGCTCCTTGACGGTTTGTTTCCTTTTCTCTCTTAAAACAGGTCTAAACCATTTTTGCTTAATTACACGGAATATTTTTGCAAAAAAGCATCAAGATGGCAAATTTATAGTAATAAAAATATTTTTATTTAATCACAATGCTATGTGGCTGACATTTTAGGTAATTCAGAGGCTTATTAAAGAAAAGGCAAAATTCAATTAGCTTATAGAGTACCTGAATGTTTTTTGAGGACTCTTGATAGTTCTTCAATCATTCTAATGCAATCTAATCCCTGCAACAAAAGTAGCAAATCATTGTATCAAGATTAAAGAGCTTTTCTTAAAATGCCAGCATAAATACAAATTTCCATTACCTTTAGAAATTCCCAAATTCATTCCAGTTCAGAAGCAGTGTGGTTTTGTGGAGATAGGGATTTGGAGTCAGAAGACTAGAGTTTGAATGACAGAACCATGATAAAATATAAGCACCCTAAGGGCAGAGACTGTTTAATTTTTTCTTTGTATCCCCAGTACATAATAGGTGCTTAATACATGTTTTTGATTCAGTAAGATAAACAAAAATGAGGACTAAAAAAGTCAGTCTGAGTATTTTATATTCCTATAACATTGTTGTTGTTCTTTCTTCTTTCTTGAAGAAGATCAATGACATCATGAGGGTGATGTCTTGACTTGTGCATGAATTGTACTGAAGTAAGTCAAGGCTGTCCAAAGTTATCAGCCTCCCTTTCTCCTCCAGAGTCATCAAAGTCCAGTGGCAAGACAAAAGTCAAGATGACTGGCGAAGGCCTGGGACTTATATTTTGTAAGATATTTTGGGGTTTAGGGACTAGATTTTTTATTTTATTTTAATCATCCATCTATCCATTCATCCATCCATTCTCTTTCTTTCTATCTATCATTTAAAAAAAGCTGGGACAATTTGCTTTTTGCTCTGTGCAGTTTCCATTTATGATTTCTTGAAATATAAGCTCTGGAAAAACAGGCTTTTAGAAAGCCCATTGTGTTTCAAATGGAGTTAACTTGTTGTTCAGTCATTTCTGACTCTTTGTGACCCCACATTTGAGGTTTTCTTGGCAAGGATACTGGAGTGGTTTGCCATTTCCTTCTCTAGCACATTTTACATATGAGGAACTGAGGCAAACAGGGTTAAGGTTAAGTGCAGGGTCACACACCTACTAAGTGTCTGAGGCCAGATTTGAACTCAGGAAGGTGAGTTTTCCTGACTCCAGGTGCAGCATTTTATCTACTGCACCATCTAATAACTTGGTGCCTTTAATAATTCAAGGTGATTAAGCACCACCCAATTTTCAATTATCTGGGAAAATACCACACTGAAGTACAGTATTCTGTAGTTTTAAAAAATTTATTCACTCATATTACCAATAACAAATGTAAATTACACATGATCACTTTGGGACATGTAGCATAAGAGAAAAAATACTCAGGAGAGAACTGAATTTGAACCCTGGTTCTGATCATACTAGCTGTGTGAACTTGGGCAAACTTTGCCTCTGAGACTTCGTTTTCTCATCTATAAATTGGGAATGACAATCTTTTTCCTGCCTATCATGAAGGTTATCATGAGGGAAGTGTTCTGTAAGTCAAAAGATACTATATAATTGTGATTCCTTTATCATCATCATCATCATCATCATCATCATCATCATCATCATCATCAACACTCTACCTCAGCAGTTTCAAGTCCATCAATTGTCATACAGATGTCCAAGTCACTCTGTTTGAACCCAAATCCATTTTTGGAAGAACCAAATAAGCTCAATTTGGTGCCTGTCAGAAATATATTATAAACAGTAATTAATTTTTGAGGATGTTTTATTTTCAAACAGGCATTCTCAAGAATGAGCAATTGAGTCAGACACTTCTGGTAACAGAATATTAAATACCTTATTTTGTGTAAAAAAAGGCAAATTTATAGAAGTTAAGCTTTCAAAAGTATAAAATATACAAATTAAGGTCCCAACTCACTAATAATCTCAACGAAGACAAATATTGCTCTCTCAACTTCTGGCTTATTTTAGAATCTCATTTCTTGTTTACCTCAAAGTTTGTTTTTATTAAAGATAAACTATATAAAGCAAGAAAAATAGCCATTTGTGTTATTGTCAAAGTCTTAGCACAGATAAAGTTCAAGATAAAATCTATAACACCTCCTTATATCTACAATTATTAAATTTGCTACTTCTTTGAAAAAATTATTTTTGAAATGTGATTTTAAATTTTGATTAAAACTTCAAATGGAAAACAAAATATATGCGTGGCATTTGTTAACAAAAATAGTATTTCAATATTCAACCTACTGGTGCACTACAATTTTCTATATCAGCTACAACACCAATCATATCATTTATTTTTCTCTAAGTCAGTAAGTTTGGAACAAAATTACTGGTCTTCTAGAAATGTTAAGCTAAGAAAAAAATGTGATATAAATAACCTTACCTGGAAACTCTTGTCTTATGAAATTTTCCAGGTTTTGCCGAATATGTTCACGAGCCTGATCTTCTAAAGCAGTTGCAGAAAAATCCTCTATTTAAAATAAGTGGAAATAATTGTCAAAGAGCTTTCAAAAATTTGCCCCCAAACTAGAAGAACCAAGTTTTCATCAAAAAACAATTATCCCCATGTCCAAATTTCTAAGTATCTCCTATGTGAATAACACTATTGTAGAAGCAATGTGATCACAAAATAAAAACATAGCCCAACCTCAAGAAAGTCACAATAAATTACTAAGAATTACTGAAGCTTTACACACACACACACACGCATATATATATATAATTATTATTAAGAGGAACCACATTTGGTATTGTTAAAAATAAGGTGGCTCTGATAGATCAGCCTGAAGCTTTCCAAACATTATTTTGTTAAAATGGTCTGTTTGAACAGCTTTCCAAAACTTAAGAACTCTGAACAATCTTCTATCATTTCAGGGGATTGATGATGAAGAAGGCTACCCATTTCCTTTCAGAGAGGTGACTGGACTCAAGAGTACAACAGGATGAGACATACTTTTTGGGACATATCCAATGTGGGCATTTGTTTGCCTTGACTATTCATAGTTGTTACAAGGTTTTTGTTTGTTTGTTTCAGGACAGGTGGGGGGGGGAGGGCCAGGTGTGTGGTGGGATGAGAGGGAGGTAAAACAGATTTCTGTTAATTAAAAAATACTGGTAAAACAAAGAGACTGCTTTGACTAGTTGGATATCTACTTTTATTTATAATGTTTAAAGTGAAAATATTATCAAAAGTTTTTCTGTATTTTATTTCTCTCACTTGAAACTTGGAATCTTTATAATGAACACAATACCAGAACAGTTAGAAATTAAAATAAGTAAAGACTGATAAAACATATATTGTTATTTCTCATATCTTAAGCCATCTCCTAGTTTGGCAATTGTTTGAAGCCTACTTTAATGTTCCTAGAAATTAGTAAGAAATGTTGACAACTTACTGTAACACTGGATGCAAACTTGATCTAAGATATTTGAAAATCTGGGTGTTAATGGCGGCAAAGGATCCAGTTCTATTTTTTTGAAGTCTTCAGGGCAATCCTTCTTTAGATGGCCCTCTCGCTTGCACAAACTACATACTACAGTAGGAGGCTACATGAAAGGGAAAAGCATAAAGACTTAAATGCAGTTTCTTATTTGGGAGTTCCTAACTTTTCTAGCAAAACATTCTACTTTTTACTTCCTCAAAGTGACAGTATCATCAGGGGTGGAGTATGGTATGATAGAGCTGGAATATTTAGCAACTTTTAATACTTTTGGGCAGGAAACTGGGGGAGTGCTAAAACTTAGGAAGAAGCCTGGTTAATCAAGCTGGTCTTAAAGAGCAAATGAATAATTAATCACTGCTCATCATTTCAGTAAGCCTGTTCTGCCAAGTGAAAACCAAATTTATACATACAAAATTAAAAAACAAAACAAAACATCCAAGCTGTTTCTTTGGAAGTTAAATATTTTTACCTTGCCCTTGGTGAAGACAGGTTTACTAAATTCATAGAATAAATCCAAATGATCTACAGTTGAATCTTCCTCACATACATTTTCTTCCTTAAGAGGATGCTTTTCATTTAATTGCATTAGCAAGGGTTCATCTAAATTTTTTCTAACTTCTTTTAAATCTTCATATTTAACAGGAACAACTAATCCATCCTCTTCAGAGAGGGCATCCTCATCTCCATATCCAGTGTATGTGTCCAAATCGTTTTGTACAGTAACACTATCTCTTTCATTGATGGTATGCCTGGCTGCTTCTTCATCCTCTTCCTCATCATCTGAATTAGTGATTTCTGATGTCTGGCCCTGTACTGAATGTCCAACCTTGTTTGAGTCTTCTAATTCATCTGTACCTTCTGTGCTTTCCTCATCCATGTCAGCCTTGTCATCTACAGTAACAAAGTCATCCCTTTCAGTTATTGTAATGTTTTGGAAACTCTCTAAATCTGAAATGCTGTCAGTCTCCATATCAAGGTCATTGTTATGGGCAAGTAGTTCTCCATTTTCACTGTCATCATCTAATTCTTGATCCATAGTTGTTAAATTTTTCTCCCAGTCTTGTCTTACGTCAAGTTCTTCCTCCTCCTCCTCATCTTCATCATTTCCACTTTCTGTTTCCTCATAGTGTGGTTTGAAATCCTCGGAATCATCAAAAATTACTTCTTCAATGATACAATCGAAGTCTCCTTGGTTGATTCGAACTTGAACATCTCCTAATTCCTCTGTTGGGCTTTCAAAACCATCAAACATCTTTACAGTATTCCTCTGATGTGCCTGAAAGTTTTCTAATGTATCAGTAGCATCAATACAGTCACCCATAACCATGATTTTGTTATTTATTTCTTGTACCTCAGGGTCATGCTTTACGTCATCTTTTTTTACATCATCTTTTAGGTGTTCGGATGTTTGAAGTGCATCGACATTTATATTCAAAGGCTTTTTGGGGGTGGCCTTTGTTGCTTTTTTGTGTGGGATAGCGAAATACTTATATGTTGCTCTTAAACAATGAAGTATATATTCATAAACCAGTTGACTGTTTAAGGTTCTTGCCACATTCCTCTTAATGGAGTATGGATCTGTAACAACAAAAAATGTAACATCTTTATATTTTACCTTGAAAATAATCAATGTATTTTAGATTAAAAGCAACAATAAACCAGGCAAAATGAAACCTGTTTCTTAAGTGTGGCTATTTTCATTTGGGAGTCAAAATAGAGGGGAAAAAAATGTCATCCCTCATATGAAGAAATCTCTCACATGAAGAAACTCCTAATACCAAAATTCTCTCTCTTATGACCAACCCACTTTGCACAACACCAGTATCCCTTCCTTATCTGGTTATAGTATAGTGGCAGCGGAAAAGAAATTGTCAGTCTGGCTCTTAAGCCTTGAGGGGCTATTTCCTACACTGAAAGGCTCTGCTGAGTGTTCTGCCTCCCCCACTCAGCCAGTCACTTTGTAAAGCTTACCTCCACTCTTCCGCCCTGTGAAGCCCCATCACTGAACTGGCTGGACTGAATTCCAGGGGTGAGAGGGAGGCACGAGGAGGAGACACCACTTCTCACAATCTGCTCTCCTCCCCTAAAACTCCAGGAGGGTAGGCAATTGGCCAGAAGAGCTGAGCCAGAGAAACTGCAGGGGAGGGTTTAAAAATGTGAGATCCCCATGACTGCACACAGAATTTTATGCAAAATGCAAAAAACCCTCTTATGCAACATAAAGCTTGAAAAAAAAATCAAGCAAAAAGAAGGGAATTCCATATTGAAGGTTCCTTTAGCTACAATTATGAGGAAGTTCTTAAAAATGTTTTTAAAGGGGAAAAATTTAGGTTTTCTATATGAGCTTCAACTATGCAACAGCCTAACTTCTAAAAGTTGAAAATGGCTTAAGAGGCCAGCCCACTTTCTAATGCCTACTGAATATATCCGTGTGTTTCACTGCAATATAGATTTGGTTTAATGATCCCTATGCAAAAGAATATATGCATATTTTAAATATTACTGGAGGCTTTATAACACTACATCATGTCTGCAAACTGCTGGAGTCCATGAAATCAATTAATATAAAATGGGGTAAACTGAACCTAGAAGTAAAGATTTATAGTCAGGTTTTTTTTTAAACTTTAAGAAATCAATTACATTTAATGAATGTGTAATTAGAATAATGCCCATGCCACAGGTTTTAAAAATGGAGCTGTAAGCATGAGACTGTATTGAGCTACATGACATATAGAGCTCTAGTACAAGGAGGATCCTGACTGTTTACTTTACTGCTGGGTCCTGGTACACCTTGTATGAAGGTGATGAAAGAACACTGAAATAAAGTACATGCTGTTAGATCTGCATTTTTTTAGTTTTTTTTTTTTAAAACGTGAAAAATCTAGATACCTTCCACAGCAATGCGCTTTTTGGGCCAATCCTTTGCTTCACGAGATATAGCTTCTTTGGCACGTATACTGATGACCAAATCACCCAAATTAAATTCTAAAGCATAGAAACGAAGCAATTCCACCCAAAGCTGCCCAACTGGTACAGAACACTGGTTTTCTAAGTCAAATACCAATGGAACCTATTACCAGCAAAAAGAAGAAATTTCACATTACGTATGTCTAAACAATCAGATAAAACAAAATTATACAGATTCTGTTTTAACAAAATGAAACTTAAGGGAAGGTTATTAATGAAACTTAAGGGAATCCTTTCACAGGAAGCTTAAACTCAGTACAAAAAAATTAAGCTATGTATCAGTAATTGGTTTTTATTATACTTTAGATAGAACTGGGATCTTATCGAGATAGCATGGAGCAGTGGGAAGGTAATCAGAATTGGAGTTAGGAAAGATCTGTCTTGATAATCCTGCCTTTGATATTTACTTGTCTTGTGACCATGGGCAAATTCTCTCAGTCTCAATTTCCTAACTATAAAATGAGAATAATACTAATGATGGTACTCTTGCCTCACATGGTTGTTGTAAGCCAGGATTCAAAGAGAAATGTGAAGTAGGTGTAAAGTTCTTTGTAAACACTAAATTGCTAATATGTCAGCTATTGTGTGGGCTGTCTTTCAACAATACTTCCTCCTGTGTCACTCCTGGCATATTTTCCAAAAAGCAGTCACAGATACATCAGGCATATTTGCTACTTCCAATTTATGAAATGTAGTGAAGACAGCAAGGACTATATAAGAGGTGCTAACACATTCTCACTTCTGCCCCCTACCTAAGCTATCACTACCCCTCAAGTGGATACTGAAAAAAAGGAAAGAGAATAGGATCCTAGACTACTCAGATTTATAAGGATATTTTTTGTGACTGGATATTCAGTTTTGGTGCCAGTTAATTTGTGATATCAAAGGTTTGGATTTTAAAACATACATATATCTGGATGTATTAATTTAAAGAAAATACAAGCATTTTTTGTCATAGAATTTTAAAGTTACAAGGTATATTAGAAACTATTCCAGCTTTAGAGATGAAGAAACCAAGGCACAAAGATATAAAATGTCCAGAGCACAAGAAGCACACCCATTAACTTTCAATCCATTATCTTCATTATGTCAGGCAGTCTCAAGAACACAAAATTCTGTTTGTATATTAAGAAATAAAGCAATAATTCAGCATCCAATTTGTACATCCTCCCCCCATTCAAGTATTTATTGAGGTTTTTATTACTACTGTCTTTTTGCTTTTTTCAAATATTTGAAGGATCGTCCCCTTGGGAAGAACTAGGAACAACGGATGGAAGTTACAGGTAGGCAAATTTTGGTTCAATATAAAGAAAATTTCCTAAGAATCAGAACCACTTAGAAGTGGAATGGACTGCCTTATATAGTGACTTTCCTATCAATGGTGGTCTTCAAGCAGAGACTGAAAGACTACTTGATGCTGTAGGAGGGAATGGATCCTTCTAGTGTGCTTCAGATTAGATGATCTCGGGGTTCCTTTGCACTTAGAAACTCTCAGACTCTTCATGTAACAGTTCTGGGTGCTCTGGGTCAAGGTTTGTAATTTCATCAGTATAGGAATGCCTGACGCAGAAACTCTAACTATATACATCAGTAATTTATCTGTGACTACAGAATTGCCTTTAGCATTGACAAGTTATGTGACTTGGCCGTGTGGTTATACAGACATTATGTATTATCAGATGTGGGACTTGAATCCAAGTTTTTTATGATCCCAAGTTCATAGCCATTATAATTCACAGTATACTTTCTCTTTGTTTCTGTCTCTCCAAAGCTCATTTTGCTATACACTGTAACTTTAAACATGTCAAGAGGAACTATACTTTGATATTCAAAAAATATTACGGAAGACTTATTTCAAAATTGGGAGACCATTTTAGCAGGTGACAAAAGTAGAAGATAGAAAACTATATAAGCCACAAATATCATTCAATTAGGGATCTGAATAACCAGTAACATTTTGCTTGTTATTTTTCATCTCCTTTTGCACAAATCTTTTATTAAAGTTAAACACTAAGGCTGAAAGGAGTGATAAAGGAAGCTCTCAGGAAAGCTTTTTCAGTTGATGTGGGGGATTCTCTCTAAAAGTGAAGACCGGTAGTAGCTGCTCTGCACCTTAGTCTTCGAGCATTTTCTGGGTCACTAAGAGGTTTAAGTGACTTGTCCAGGGTAATATATCTAGTTTATGCCAGAGGCAATTTTTGAACAGAGGTCTTCCTAATTTTGAAATGGGGGGCTCTGTTCATTATGCCTTCTTCCTAAAAGGCTTCTTCAAAGGATGTTTATGCATTTCGTTGTTATTATGTATAGATTTTATTACTTCAGCCTAGAAGTCAAGAGTTGTGCCTTTAGGAACTCTCATTTCACTTCAGGAAAACTAAAGAGATTTAACTGAGTTAAAATTTGTAACCGAGCTGAGCCTGGAACCTGGATTTTCCCTGTGCTCTAGTTACTTGATGATCATCTTAGTCTTGGTTCTAAATCCAAATGACTGTTGGTATGTTAGCCATCACATTATAGGGGAAATGTAAGAAAAATAATCTTGAATTGCCTTGTGACATTTCTCTCATTGCTGTCTTAAGTGCACTGGTTTATTACTTGAATTTTACTTCTGTTTCTCATCCTCTATCAAAAATGCCAAGCAATGAGATAAACAAAAAGTGGGCAATAAAGAATGTTGTAGGAATCTGAAAAATCATCTCTTGGTTAATTAAAAACTGACAGTTTTTCAGTTTAATAATGAAAGTAGATAAAAATGAGTTCAGACCTTTCCTCTTTTAAAAGATGTTTCCTTAGATGATTCATCATCTCTCGTAGAAGTAGTCTGTTCCCAAACCACCAAATCATTTTCAACTTCTTTAAGGGTAAAATTTACTAGTTTGTTCAATGAGAATCCTTCAATCTAGGAAAATAGGACAAATACAATCTTAATCAGTTAAAAACAGTATTTACTGTTATATCAATGCTTATCAATCTTACACAAATAATTGCTGGAGCACATTCAACAGAAAAATCCCATTATAGAATACATTAAAGAGTATCCTAAGGAATCTTGGTGAGTTATCTATAAAGTTTTGTTTAGCACATGTGGAAAAAATAGTAGGTCTCAGTGTTCTGCTTTCTTACTTCAAGTATTTTTTTTAAAATAGGCACCAACTAGAAACATTAGTTATATAGAGGAGCCTCATAAAGACTCATTTTGCACAAACTTTTTATTAAAGTTAAAAACTAAGGCTGAAAGGACTAATAAAGTGAGAGTCATATAGATGTACAACTCTTTTTTTTCCTTCACTATGCCTAATATATGCTAGATGACACTTTTTAGAAAAAACTGAATCTGAAGTATAGAATTCCTTGTAAAAGTAAGAGTGGCATTTAGAAATGTCAAGATATAGTTTTTCTTCCACACTGCGACTTTCCCCACTGTGGTTTTGTTATATCATGGGTCAGTATGAGAAATTAAACAGGAATTATTTTGGAGTTTTGTGGAAGCCGCAGATGACAGTAGAAGGCCAGCAGATGACATAGAGCTTATGACCAAATAGCCCAAATTTACAATAAAGTGCTGTAAACACTTCATAAAAGAAAATGAAAAAATTCAGACTTCTTCTCTGGTATGAAGGGTGGGCCAAAAATTTTACCCAGGCTTTCCAGATGGAGGGGTGCTGCACCCTGAACCCCTGAAATGTTGAAGGGATAACTGTGCTAAACATTATATACTGTCTATTTTATTTCTTGGTAGACTAGTTAATCACTGGGGTACAAAGTGGAAGAACCAATTAGGAATTCATATAGGTTATGAAGATTTTCCCCCTCTTTAATGCAAATAGCTACTAGGATGTTTAAGATTATGAGTTATTCATAATTCACTATGATTTACTTTAATCAGTTAATCAAAATCTTGCTAAGAATAGTACTATTTGGGAAACGGGAGTCGTGACTAGGAAATGAATATTGAAGGAGAGTAGGGAACTTTGGATAGCAAGCAGAAAACAGGAGGGCACTAGAAATTTAGGGAGCAGGAGAAAAGGCAAGTGAAAAGATTTCTTTAAGAAATGCTTTTCTGCTTTGCAATTTATGTAAAACTGATGGGAACCTATGTGTCACTGAATATTATATACTAACCCAGGTATTAGGAATCTACCCTGCATTTTTAAAGCTCAGAGTAGACTGCTAGTACCAAAGATCTGATAAAGTCACAAAAGCTGGAAAAGACCCGAGAAAACTTCCAGTTGATTGCTCACAAGTCCGGTAACATATAGCTGGTGAGTTAACTTGGCATCTGGGATGAAAAAATAGGAATGCCTCTATCAAATCTAGTGTTTTTTACACTTATCCAAACTGAGTTCAAATGAGCAGGACTAGTTCTCAAAGACTGAAAACCTCAGAGCCTTTCCCAATGAAAGCTAATCCAGTCTGCTGCAAACCAACATTTCTAGTTCAGTTCATCTTTTCCTATTTTTCCACAACTCCCCAGTGGGAAGAGGAGATGAGAAAAAAGGAAGAAAAAGCTGGAATATGTGTGCATGTCCTCCTTTCCCTTTATGTGCAGAACAGTAAAGGGTTTTACTATTCCTAAGAGAATTCTACATATCCATAAAATGTGAAGGCACATGATGAAGACAGATAGAAAAAAATATTATTTTGTACAGAAGTAATATAGAAAGTATTTTCAGAATGGACAGAAGAAAGAGCACTGGATGTGGAATCAGAAGACCTGAGTTTGAAACAGGCTCTGTCAAGATAATTTTATCAGTGCCATCTCAGGAAAGTCACTGCACCATTCTGGATCTCAGTTTCCTCATTAATGAATGAATGAATGAATGAAAATGCTTATCACATATACTATGTGATAGTACTGTGAAGTATTGTGCCAAGCCTGGAAGACACAAAGAGAAAATTAGGTGATTACACTAGAATTTTTCTAAGGTCGTTTCCAGGTCTAAAATCATATGATCTTAAGACTTGATAAAGATAAATAACTTGGAAGTTAAGAACAGAAGATTCATGAGGATAATCAAAATACTATTTTCTGTAATTATTTATATTGCTGTATTATTGTTTTAGGATAGTTCAAATGGCAGGACTTAAGAATTTGCAAGTAAATTTAAGTAGTAAATTTGCATACTTATATGTATATTTTCTCTAGATTATGTGTATATGTATATTTAAGGTTGAGTGTACTTTACTCTCAACACACACACCCACACACACCCACCCCCCCCCCCCACTCCTGGCCCCAGTGATTTTATTCGTGCAGAGAACTCTTCCTGGTGAGGAGAAACTCCTTCTCCCAATTCATAAAGGCAACTGTTCGACAACCTACAGTCTTAAAGAGTTTCTGGGTGAGAGGCCAAATGATTGACCAGGCTCACACGGCCAAAATGTATTTGATGCAGGTCTGGACTCACAGGCCTTCTCTCTACCCACTGTGCTTTGCTCCAGTTTTCCATGTCTCATAAAATGAACGCTTTTGAATGCTTACATTTCTTTTCAGGTAAAAAAAGTCAGATACCTCAGAGATATACTACACAGAAAGTAACCAGCCAATCATCAAATGCTTAGTCTCTTAACAATTCTTCCTGCCTCTATTCTCTACCCAACTCCTTTAATCTATCTTTATGCATTCATCTAGTCATGTTACTCCTCTGCTCAAAAATATTTGGTGGCTCCCTATTGCCAACTATGTCAAGTTCAAACTGCTTTCATGGCATTCAAGGCCATTTACAATCTGGCATCTCTCAAACTTTTAAACCATAACTCCTATTACTCTCTAACATGTATGCTATTCTTCAGAAAAATTAGATTATTCTATTTCCTATTTCCTCCACCATGAGCTTACCCATTTCTGTGCTTTTGCTTATGTCATTTCCTATGCTCAGAATATCTTCTCTCCTTCTTTGTCAATTCTTACCCATCCTCTAAAGATCAACTCCAATGGCCTTCTTTTTTCCCCTCTCCCTGAAAGCCCAATCTCTAATGCACTTAGTTATTTTGTAAGGCTGTCTTGTTTAAATTTTGAATGTTCCTCTGTGCCTAAACGCATTTAAATGAATTGAATTAGCCTGGCTAGAAGGGAAATATGAATTCAATGATAAAATTGAGAAAACTACGCTCCAAAGCAAATGTATCTTTTACAAAAATGCAATTTCATAATTTTATAATTTTAAATAAAGTAAAACTTACCCATGATCCTAGATATACGGGCAGAACTGGTTCTTTTCTTTGTTGAAGAAAGAAAATGGCCATTAGGGCAAATACATAGGGTGGTAAGCCCCCTTCTTCAGGATGATCTGTACAGCAAAGCTAAAATAAAAGGAGGAAGAGTGTATGAGTCTATTTCCACTAAAATTTTCATTCTTCAAGATTGGCTATATATAGAAAATAATCTTCATCAATTTGAATCACCTGTTAACAAAAAAAAGTAAAGTATAAGCAACTTAGCACACTGGCTCCTAAAGACATAGTAACTGTTCAGTAAACTTGTTGATTTGATCTGCTTTAAAGTCCAAAGCTCAGGTGGTTACTGCACTAAAAGTCACTGGTTTAGATCCTTATTGTGGGCAAGGTTGGTTTGGCATTGTTATGTTTATGCATATGTTATAGCTAGCATTTATATCATTTTAAGGTTTGCAAATCTCTTCACAGTTATCATATCATTTTATCCTCACAATAACCCTGAGAGGTAGATGCCATTAATTACCTACATTTTCCAGATGAGGCAACTGAGTCAAAGAAATATTATTTGACTTGCCCAAGCTCACACAGCTGGTAAATGTCTGAGGCTAGATTTGAACTTCCTGACTCCAGGTCCAGTGCTCTATCCACTGTGCCACCACCTGCCCTCAGCTGTACATCCAACTTGGCTTTTACAAAAGAAACTAATTGTTGTTGCTGTTTGTCCTTCACTCTTAAAGAGGACCAATGAAATCATAAGGATGATGTTTTGACTTGTGTACGAACTGGATTTAAGAGATGTAGGGCTGCACAAAGTCACCAGCCTCACTCTCTCCTCCAGAGTCATCAAAGTCCAATGGTAAGACAAAGGGGCCTGAGGGCTAGATTTTTTATTTTATTTTAATCATTCATCCATCTATCTATTCTATCATTTTCAAAAAGCTGGGACAATTTATTTTTTGCCCTGTGCAGTTGCCATTTATGATTTCTTGAAATATAGCTCTGGAAAAACAGGCTTTTTAAAAAGCCCACTGTGTTTCAAATGGAGTTAACTTGTTGTTGTATTTCTGACTCTTTGTGACCCAACAATTGGGGTTTTCTTGGCAAAGATACTGTAGTGATTTGCTATTTCCTTCTCTAGCACATTTTACAGATGCGGAACTGAGGCAAACAGGGTTAAGGTTAAGCCCAGGGTCACACACCTACTAAGTGTCTGAGGCCAGATTTGAACTCAGGAAGATGAGTCTTCCTAATTCCAGGTGCAGCAGTCTATGTACTGCACCACCTAGCTGACTATGCCTTCAAACCCAAATTACGCTGCCTTTCAATGAATGGCCAATAATAACTTGATGCCTTTAATAATTCTGAGGATGTGAACAATTCAAGGTGATTTAAGCATCACCCAATTTTCAATTATCTGGGAAAAAAACACACTGAAGTATAGGATTCTGTAATTTAAACAAATTTACTCACTCATATTACCAATAACAAATGTAAATTATATATGACCATCCAGGGACATGTAATATAGGAGTAAAATCCACTGGACCACTACTTAGGAGAGAAATGAATTTGAACCCTGGTTCTGATCAAACTAGCTGTGTGACCTTTGGCAAACTTTTTCCTCTTCTATAAACTGGGGATGACAATCTTCTTCCTGCCTATTTCCTAGGGTTATCATGAAGGAAGTGTTGTAGAAGCCAAAAGATACTATATAATTGTGACTCCTTTATCATCATTATTATCAATCTATCTCAGCAGTTTCAAGTCCACCAACTGTCTTACAGATGTCCAGGTCACTCTGTTTGAACTCAAATCCATTTTCAGAAGAATGAAATGAGCTCAATTTGGTGCCTGAAAACTCTTAGAACACTGGTAGAATCAAGTATATCTATTACCACTACCATGAAAACAATTCAAATTCATGAGCCATTTACTGCTAATCTGATGGCTGGGTACAAAGGGCTTACACATTATTAGTTCTGCTAATTACATGGAAGAAATAACTTTAATGTGTCTGCTATTCAGCCACTGAATGTTTATATGATTATATAATCATCTGTTAAAAGAGAAATTGTTCTACCACCTCAATTTGAGTTTAAAATTTTGCAGCTCTCTTCTGTCACTATTTCAATTACACTAACTTTAAAATCTCAGACGTTCAGAATGCATCCTATCCCTGTTTGGGCCCCAAATCAAGAAACTATAATTAAAACGCAATATTTTCTTTTACTTTTTTTAAGGGAGGCCATTTAATGTTTAAAGTATATTGAAAGATTTTAAGGAAATGAAAATATCAAAATTTCTATTCTTCCTTTGGATTTCCACATTTCTTGCATTTGCCCAGAAAGTACTAATGAATGCCTTACACAGATTCTTATATATATCCAAAATTAAAAAAACAAAAATAAGAGGCTAAAAACTTAAAACATATTGCACATGCAAATGTATCCTCTTATAAGAATACATGACTGTATTTAGAGGACCCATACTTACCTTTGCCCAGTACCTGAATGCAATTACCAAAGGGATCAATTTAGGTTCTAGTTTTCCAAGAGCAGCTAAATGATTTGTGGTCAGACAAGCATTTTCATTTCCTGCACTCACTTTACAAACGAGGCCACTAAAACAATGAAAAAGCAAAACAAAATAAAACTTCAGGATAGAGAACTATTTTTTCTTCCCCTATATTTTTCTTCCCCCATATTAAGATTTAAGAGAATCATAAAAGTTTGAAAACTTCATTTGGTGTCTAAAAAAATTCACATCTACCAAGGAGTCAGTGTTGCTTTTTATGTGACTACAGATGGATATAGTGACAGATGGACATATTCATGCTAATAAATGTCATTACTATGCAACGCATCCAAAATGGAGTAATGGAAAATTTAGTGGCAGATCATTTTAGTCAAACAATTGAAATGGGTGAGAAATGTTTATTCCCCAACACTGTTTTCTTTGATGGAATTGTCTTAAAAAGAATGACTTCTACCTGAATTGCCCAAAATACAGCAAATGTCAATAGTAAATTTGTGAAATACTAATGTATGCATCAACTTATTCTGGCAATTGAATCACTTAGACAATTACATACGTTTGCCTGTTGATCTATGTGACCTTAATGCCTATAAAGAGTAGATACAAACTGAGACCTTTGTTTTTCTCGGCACATCACCACTGGCACCCTAGCATGGAAATCTGCATCAATATCAATGAAAGATTCTGAGGAAAGAAAAAATATTACGCATGTTAATAACAGTTTTTGTAAAAACAGAACTAAATAAAGTGCAAGTTATTAGGAGAGGCTTTTTTGATTCGGTCTTTTAAAAGAGAACTACAGAAAAAAGAAGTACTTCAAACCTATGTGAAAAAATGAGAGATACAAGTAGCAGGGTCCAAGGATTCACAAGGAATTGTACAATTTTCTTTTTGAGACTGGGTCTCCTCATTTCACCCAAACTTATGTGCAGCAGCAACTGAGGGGGTCTAATCCAGCTGCTGACTGGCATGGAAGCTTTGACATGCTCCATTTCTGACCCAGGAAGGCTCTTGTTTTCACAGAGGCAGTCAGTTGAGCCCCTGCTCCTGGGGCGCCCCCTATACTGGTACCAGTCTTAGTACCAACACCGTATCAACTTTAGCCCTACTTCAGCTTGGAATTCCTGAGCTAAGAGACCTAACAAGCCAGACTCCCCACTAGCTGTATTTATTGGAGAGATTTTCTTTTTAACTGATTTTTTAAAAATTCCATGGGAAAAGCTGATGATTAGTTAGGAAAGCAACTAGTACATATTAGATCACACTATTTATGTTTAAAAGGGTAGCAGACGAAGAGATATTGAGGTGACATTTAAGAATGTAGAAATTATAAACATTATCAAAATTTGCTCTACCAAGTTGATTATAAAAATCAACTTTCTTAACCATTCTTAAAAGGAAGCTTTCGGACATCTATGCTAACAGACTCCCTCCCCAATGACTTTGTATTGATTTTGTATATACTTATATATAAGAGGAAGCAAGTCTGGAGTAATGGAGAGAGAATGGGTCCAGGGGCCAGAAGGCCAGGCATCAGGTCCTGCCTCTGTTACATCCGGTCACACATAGGCTATGTGACCCTGAACAGACAGCTCAGCTTTGCACCTCTCAAAACTCTAAGCTGTATAGGCAGAGGGTGTTTCCTCATTGAGGAATTCCCTCTGTAAATGAGTTCCAGTTATTATCCTCATCCTGGTACTTCCATGGGATACATGTCTTTCCCGCATGCTCCTTAAAAGTGGGGACTTTTTCATTTTTTGTCTTTGTATCCGCAGGGCCTGATACAATGGCTGACACAGAATGGCCCCTTAATTGATATTTACTGATTGTTGGATCTTGGGCAAAATCAAAATGAGAAATGGAAAAGACCAACTCCAATGGTAGTGTTATTTTCACATCATTTTTCATGACTCCCACAAAGGTAGTAAAACTAGCAGAGCTGGGATGTGAATCCAGTTCTTCTGACTCCTAAACCAGCGCTCTTTACACTACACCAAGATAACTCAAATATGTCCCCTTCATCAAAATAAACTTTCACATTTATCCCAACTAATACTACCCCTTTTGTACTCTGACTTTAATAAACAGAAAGATGTTTTGCAACTTTCCATCAACAACTGGCAAATTGATAGATGATGCCTGGTTTTACACTTTAGCTGCCATTTTCTCTTCTTTAGGGACTTCTAGTGATCAAAGTAGGATAAACTGCTTGTGTCTACCTTTACTTCCCAGGCTCGATGCTGAAAGCTTTATTTAAAATACCTTTTTGATATGCTATGGGAAGTCAGAAAATTATTATTAACAATGGTTCCTTCACCTGGAACATTGAAGAACATAAAATAAAGTATTCCATTAAGAATATAAGAAACATAAACAGTTACCGATGGACACTGCATTAACCAACTGATAAACTTTAGCTTGATCATAGACCACCTCTCCAAAATTCACTTCAGGCTTGAAGCCAAGATGTGGTTATGTAATATATCTGTATGTATATCAAGGCTAAAGAACAGGTAAAAGGGAATAGACAATAATTTACACATTTTAAAAATTGCAATCTGTCATTTATTTCAACTGAAGCTCCCTTAATTTATTTTTTACTCATTACTATTAGACTTAGGGGCCTTGAAGATGCACGGTACCATGGAAAGAACACTGGTTTGGGAGTTGAGAAGCCTGGGCTGAGTTTGGGTGATCCTAAGCATGTCAGTTAATCTCCTTGGGTCTCAGTCTTCTCTTGTAGAAAATAAATTGGGAAGAGGGTAGAGTACTTGGATTAGATTATTTACAAGGTCTCTAAAATTCTATTACCTTTCATCCTATTCTAACTTCACAAGCATGCATGATTTATAAAAGTCTTAGATATATTAGGTTCCAAACCAATATATTAGGCTCAACCTAATTCAGTTATTTTTAGTGTAGGAATAAGTTTTAACCATACATACGATCACACTTAATCTTACAAACTATTCACAATAGAACTAATAGCAGGACCTGTGGCCTGGCATAGTGGAAAGAACCCTACATTTGGAATGAGCAGATTTACTTTTAAAGCCATTTAACGCTTATGTGACTTGGGAGAATAACTTCATATTTTGGGGTCTCAATTTTCTCACATATAAAAGGAAAGAGTAAGACTATGTGATGTGAATAATCCAAGGTATAGTTCCTTACAGCTCTAAATCCTATCATTTCCTATCAATCAGAAATTCCTATAAATTCAAATTTATCTTTCACACATATATTCAAACAATATACATCTAATGTTCCTTCTTTTCAAAATGTCAGGATTAAATGGACAATTTCAACACAAAAGAATGATTTTAAGAGTACTAGTGAAAAATATGGTACTTCTTACCACTGTTCTTTAAATATTCTTGAATAAGTAAGAGCACATCTGGTTGAGTCATCTGTGAAATAATCCAAGTACATAAAAAAATGAGATAACTCAGTTCACAACTATTTTAATCTTAATTGTGATGATATACAATTCAAAATAGAAATGTACATACTGATGTGGAAATGAAAAGTCTAATAACTACATGGCATATGTGCATTAGGTATTTATGCTTTAGGACATAAAATTTTCCTTTTTAAACTATGATGAAGATAGTCAGAAGAACAACTATTACATAGTTACACTTTCGAAAGCTGGTATCTAGGCAACTGGAATATTAAATAACTTTAGTACCTCACCTGTGGAAGACCTTGGGGAAGAGCTGACACAAAGACACAAGGATCAACTAAGAAGTATTACGATTGGGTAGATAACTGATCAGAATATTCGAAGGTTAAAGGCTTCCAATTTTCAATTTATGATTGGTTGGTGAGTTGCCCAAGTAGCCATAAAAACCAATCCCCATGGGTATGCAGAAAACTAGGGAAGCTGAAGTGAACAGACCATTAGCAGGATAGGGGGAGAGGAGGGAAATCAGTGAAATACAGCAGGCAAGGGGAGGACTACAATACTGACATCAATCTGCATCTCCATTTCTGTTCTCTCGAACAACAAGTTCCTCAACTATGCTGGGTAAACAAAGATAATGTGATTAAAAGGGGGGTTTCCAGTTTTTACTCAAAGAGGCACAACAAAACAAAGAAAAACTTAGCAAAGTTCCTGACTGTATTTATACATTCTAATTACAAAAAAGATTATCTGCTATAGAATACATGTTTAACACATTCTGTGAGGTTGGGACATTTTTTCCATTTATGAGCAATAAAAAGAAGTGGCTATAAAGATCGAGGAAGTATAAAAGAGTTAGATTAGATGATGGGGAAAAGAAGCCCTTTCTAGCTCTTAATCATGACTGCTATGTAGAAAAATCTGCCTGGGTCAGAAGTCCTGGGTACCAGGCACAGCTCTCTTGCTACCTCCAGGCCTGAATGAGTAAATTAACCTCTCTGGGTCTTAGTTTTCTCACCCGTAAATAAGGAGGAAGGGAGGTAGTAAACTAAATAATCTCTAAGGTTCCTTCCATTTCTAAAATTCTATTACCAGAATCTTTACGGACCATATAAATACATAGTAAATAGGAGCCCTTAAAAATTAACTAGATATGTGATCCACAATTACTATCACCAAATGGCACAAAATTAAAAAGAGCAATTGGACTAGAATGGCAGTTTTCTAAGTGTGGCCCATGAATCCCTAGAGGTCTCTTAGGTTAAAACTACTTTTGAAATAATACTAAGACATTAATTGTCTATTAAAATACTTCTCTTTTTTTCCAACTACATCTCTGTGTGACGCTGGATTTTTCTTCATATACCTCAACCAAAACAACATGTAGCAACAAAATGAATACAGAAGCAGAGATAAAATGCAGCTGTCTTCTATTAAGCCAGACATTAAAGTAATTTGCAAAAATATGTAAAATTACATCACTCTTCTAACTAATTATTTTTGTTTTGGTAAATAGTTATTTTTCATATAAATGTTATTTATGTTAACATGTAATGGGTTTATTACTGTTAGTTATAAATGAATAAATAAATTAATCAGTTTTAATTTCTAATATGGTAAAAAAAAATTAATAGATTATAGCCTAACATAAACAAAAGATTTTTGGGGTCCTCAATAATTTTTCAGAGTAAAAAGGGGTCCTGAGACCAAAAAGTTTGAGAACCATTGAACTAGAAAATGAAAGAACATTGGAATGTTTGATATAAAGAAATTCATTGAGAGCAAAACTTACTGATCTTTGTAGTCACAATAATCACCTAATATAATGCTTCACACTTAATAAATGTGTTTTATTGAGGATGGATATTGTGGAAGAAAACAAAAAAAAACAGATTTCATCACAATTTGCTATGGTTTTAGAAAAAAAATGTCATACTTACAGTGGCTGGAAACTGAACATCAATGTTTAAGTCCGAATTTTTGAAACCAAATCTGCTATAAGATGACCCATACAATCTTAAAGAACAATCTAAAAATAAAAATACTCTCATCAGCAAAATTTAATTTATAAAAACTTCCAAAAAAAGGAGACAAGTTTTATTTTTCCTCCCCAGAAGAGGGAACCAAATTAAATAGATTCATATATAAAAACAAAAATATATTAAATTTCAGGACAAATAAGGAAGGAGTGTCCAAGTTCAGTGTAGTTTAATTTCATCACTAAAGTATAACGGTTTTAATAAGCCAAGAAATTGCCTTTTAACTTATATTTCATGCAGAAAATGAGTTTCACAGATTTGCACAATTTTCAGAAATATTAGTTAAATGCGACTAAAGATTCAAACACAATATTTTGAAAAACCAACATTATTTTGAAATGCATAGAAGATAAAATCTAATTTTGATTTAACATACGAAACCTTAATCAAAAGGGTTGGGAAACAAATACAAATATTACTTTTCATTCTAACCCCACATTTATTCACTTCATTCTTTTCTTTCTTTCTTTTTTTTTTAAACGATCCTGTCAACAATTAACCATATAGAGGCATTGTGGTGAAGTGGAAAGAGCAGCAGACTTGGAGTCAGAGGACCTGGGTCTGAATCCTGGCTCTCTTACTAACTAGCTATGTGACTCTGGGCAAGTCACAATTTGTCTGGGCTTCCATTTCCTCAGCTGTAAGGAGACGGCTAACCTAGATGACCTCTAACATTACTTCCAGAGCTAAATTCTATAATACTATTACCTCAGAAGGTTGTTGTGAGGAAGGTAGTTTATCAACTTTCAAGTCTTGTAAAAACGTGAACTATTACTATTTTTGGAAATAAATCATGGAAATTATCTTTTTGTACCATTCTCATAATAAATCCCTCATAAAGTATACAAACATGCCACAAAAATATTTACACAAGATAATCACTTTAGAGACAACAACTCTTTTAAGAATATTTACAATGGCATAGAGTGAATTTAAGACTATATAAGACAGGACACATCCCCGTTTCCAGTAGATCGAGCCTCAAGAAAATGCAGTCTCTGGCAAAATGTTTTAAGTTTATATTCTTTATTTGTAATGTGCAACTTAATTTTGAACATTACTATTTTTTGTCAGAAAATTACTATGTTTCCTTCATGTAATCTTAAAGTATTTTTTTGTTGTTTTCATGTGACTTCTTATTTCTTGGGACCACAGTATTTTTCCATTATAAGCCCATCCCAGTTTAATAATTGGAAAATGATTTATTTTACAGCCAGCTTTTCAGAAAGGCATTTATTGCATAATGTAAGGCACATGGTATATCAAGAAGAAGAAAAAAGTTTCCCTTATTTCTATGATAGTATGCATAAGCCATACAGTGCTGTTAAAGGTACAAAAGAATTAATAGTACTCTTTCAGACATAATGATTCTTTTGATAATGCCGCGACAGCTACACTCATAAATCATTTGCCTAAACTATCACAGGAAAAACAAAACATGCTGAAAAAAATGAAAAATTCAAAACAGGAGGGGTTATGTAATATTGCTGACAACTCAAGAAACCAATGTTTTACAATGAATAAACTCACAAAAAAAATTTTTCTAAACTAATTTCCAATTGTTTCTTTAAAGAATTAGCTCATAAAGTTTAAAGATCATTTCATTCAACCAATTTTACAAATGAGGACCCAATTTACAAACTGAGGCCCAGAGAAGAAAAGTGACTTCCTCTATGTCATATAGCTAATAGTAGCAGAAACAGGATTTGAATCCAGAGCTTGAGATTCCAAATCCAGTGATCTTTCCATTTCACCATAATGCCTCTGTGGCTTAGCTAAACTTATTTTTGCATGTGGAAAAACCCACAGTGATCAAAGATTTACCTTTATTCTATAACTAGCTAAATCTTTAGTTTCACTGATTAGGAATGCTCTTTCCAGCAGTGCAGAACACAACACATCCATGCCTTCTACCCGTGTTCCTAATGTCCATGCCCTCCTATAAGTCAATACTCCACAGCAAATTCTCACAACTTGCTATATTTATTCTAGGCTCTAAGTAGCCTAACATTATGCTGGCACCAATGAAGTATGCAGGCTTATGCCTCTCTCTTGCTATCAACTAATGATGTTCTTTTTCCGGTTATACACCCATTTAATATAATCTTCAACATTGCTTCTTACATATATTTTATCGGTAATTTGTTGCAGCCGATTCATGCCCAATATATATATCTTTCCATTATCCTTTGGTTAACTCACAACTTTAATGCCTTGGAGGAATGTGGTATTCTGTGATTGCAGTCATGACACCAATGGTAGAATGCCAGAGTGAAAAACATAGGTTTTTATTTCAGACAGAAGTTTGGGAATTGTTAACATAAAGTTTCCCAAATGCAATCCAGCTAGCTCTCTTCCTTCTTTTCAATTCTGTGCTCAGTTTACTGTCCATCTGCAGCCCATGTTCAATATAACGACTGCTGGATTAGCTCTATATACTGACCACATTTTTGACAAATCCTAGTTTCTTCCTGTGTGGTTCAATCTTTTGAACGATTTTAGATTTTATTTAGGAGGCTGCAATATTTGGGGCATGATGAAATTGACAAAATATCATTCACAAACAGAAACATCTGGAGGTCCTCACTATCTGAAAGGAAAATTATAGATCTCTTCAATTTGGACTTTATACTGGACATCCTCCATGACAGTTGCAAGCATCTTTAGTTAGTAAACATCTGTTTTGTGCCTTGATATTAATTATAAGTTTTCTGTTTTAAATTCAATAAATACTTTTAGAATAAAAAGTTGCTGAACTCAATTTTACGACTTTAATATATACATAGGAGACATCTTGTTGGAGACGCTTTACAGGAACATTGTGCTTTACTTCATCTTTATTTAAATAGTCAATAAGCACACAGTGGGACTTTTGTATTCTTGAAGATGCATGGCTCTAAGACATGATATGCCATAGAATATCATTTGCAAAATCCTGCTCATTTCTCTCTCAAACCTTCATCAAAGATGCTCTCAATTTTGTGGCTTATTTTCCTATTTTGTAGGGATGGGAAAGCAGATATGGATCAGGAGTTACTATTTTCTCTATTACCTTTTTTTGAGTAGTAATAATGGCCATGACTGTTTCCTCCTTTTAAATATTATTTTATTGATGTTCTTTCCTTTTTGTTACATGATTGTCATTTCCCCAAAATACCTCCCACCTCCAAATAAATTCTCCCCGTACTATACAAATTTATATTGGCTGTGTCTGAAAACGTATCCCATATTCTTAACCTACAGGTTACCATCTGTCTTTGCCAAAAAACAGGAGGTATATATCGTCAGTCTTCTGAAGCCACCAGTAATCAGAGTTCTGAAGTGTTTCAAGATTTTTTTTTTATATTATTATACTCATCATGTAAATTATTCTCCTGGTTATGTTTTTATTTCACTCTGCATCATTTTATGCAAGTCTTCTCAATTTTCTCTGAATTCTTCATATTTGTCATTTCTTCTGGAACAGTAACATTCAACTACATTCCCATACTTGTTTGGTCATTCCCCAATCAATAAGCACCTACTTTTCTTTTAGTTCTTTGCTACTACAAAGTGTTGCTATAAATATTTTTTTGTGTGTAGGATATATAACTTTCACATCCTTGGAGCAAATGCCTAGTAGCAGTTACACTGTGTCAAAGGGTACGTAAAGTTGAGTGTCTTTAGTAAAATTCTAAAACATTTTCCAGAAAAATTCCTAGCTCTACTAGTAATGCATGAATGTATCTGTATTTCCACAAGCCCTATTTATCATCTTATTCATCACCTTTAAAAATTTAGTATCTTTCCATTTTTGAAGTACACTCAAATTTCTGTCACTTCTCATATAGATTTCTTTTGTATATACTTGGTTTGGTCCAACTGTTCTTCTCATCTTTATTTTCTTCAGTACCATTTTTACTTTCTAATACAATACATTGATAACTGTGATTTTAAGAGTCCAAAAACGGTGATTTTACTCGTCATTAAAGGTGAAAACAACTTGTCACAGAAATCTTGATGGATCTTATTCATTCTCTACAATCCTCTCCCCATCTGATGTCCTTGTTTTAATTTCATCTTTAAATGTTTTTAGTTAAATGGGTTTCTTACCAAACGTTATCTAGTTTCCCCCATCATTGTACTTTCCTGTTTAACTTTAGGTCACGTTGGAGCTGTTTTAATTATGTGTCATACTTTCTTAATTTTATTTATTTTTATGATGAGGTATTGTTTTTGATCTTTGCTCTAATAAGTCAGTGGTCTGAATGGGAAGAGACAGTTTATTTGGGAACAGGTTCCAACATGGATAATTAGTTGTTCCCTATTAATATATAACAATTTTTATTTTTTATGTTATTTTGTGCTTACATGCTCAGAGCCTCCCAACTTTCTTCTCAAAGGAGGTATTCATGATATGTAGCAGTGAGGCTTCTGTGTAGTTTGTAAACCATTGGTCCTCTCTCATTTTTTAAATCCTGAGCTGTATTTTCTAATATATTTTTTACTGTTCTCCATAACATTTTTTCATTGAAGCAACTGATAATGTTTATGTTGACTTAACTGGGAGAGTCTTCAAAGAATTTCTTCCTTTGCAACAGATAATACATAAACTAGAATTATCTTCAGGGTGGTCTTTATGTTTATGCTCATTACAAGCTCAACAAAACAAGCTGACCAACTGCCCCATGCTTCTGATGAAAAAGATAAAAGATCAGATAAAACCAATTTTGTCAAATGCTCTATTTGTCTTTCCAAGAAGAACCTGGGAGCCATCCTTTCACTTAGCTATAACTTCATTTTATCTTCTGTTACAGTTTGTTATGGGGATTATCAATAGTGATAGGACTCAGTTACCCTAGTAATATATACATTCACTTGTGCCTAGATGATGATCTCACAGTTTAGAGTACCGACAGCTAAGATAATTTTTATAGATGGTTTAAAAACTGTGATTCCAACATTGCTACTATCACAGGAGAAGGGGGCTACACAGAACTAAGGATCATTTTGTCTTTTAGTTTCATGGATTGCCATGGCCAGAGAATTCATCACTTAGTGGCCAGTCTACTGTTGATGAGTCTCTCAATATTTATCTAGGCTGGTCTAAAAAAAGTAGTTTGTCCCCAGGAACGTAGTCAAAATCTTTCTAGCATGGGAGAAGCTTCCAGAACTTGTACCCCAGTGGCACAAAGCCTTTGAGAACACAGGGTCATCTCTATGTAACAGAGGTATTAGAAAAGTATTTTTGTTCAGTGACAAAAATTTTGGCTTTCATTCAACTCAAAATTATTTTTAATAGGTGAAAAGCAGAAAGGGATATTTTCTAACTATATTATACTTAGGTATAATATAGAGATATAAAATATGAGAACTTTGTGTTGATACCCATATATGGAAAACTGTAGCATGTGTGATTAAAGAAGAAGAACCCTTAACTGCTGCTTGAACAAGTAATTTTACCTTGGATGTGGACAATATGTAGAAAGAGCTTCAGGACAGACCATGTCCATTTCCCTTAATGGTTAAAAATCACCACCAGTGAGTAATGCAAAAGAGCTATTTTTACTATATAAATCAAAAGGCAAGTCTAGAGAATACCTGGTAACTTCTGATGGAACAGTTTTTCCATGGTTTGTTTTATTTCAAGTCTTTGTTCTAAGTCTTCATTATTTAAGCCAAACTCCTCTACCACTTTGTCAATGGCAACACCAATAGCTTTTATCTGGGAGGGTGTTGGTGGAGGCAAGGTAGTAAGCAGCTGTTCTTCATGTTTTTCCTTAAGATAAATTGTTAGATTAAGCACTTAGAAAGAACAATTAAATACATACTAATTCATTCTAATACTTCATTGAGGTAAAGCCCAAGGAAGATTTCTGGAGTTCCCTTTTATATTCCCTCACCCTTTCCCCAGCTGTTTGTTTCAGCCATATTCAATATATGCTTTAACATGTGCTTTATCTGGATAAATGATAGTAGGAAGAAATAAAGAGAAAGATCATGGGAAAACATTAAAAGTGGTCATTATAAAATATCCTTTAATACTGATATAGCCTATGTACATGTATGCAACAGTTTAAATATATATATATGCTTAGTACCTGACTGATGATTTCATATATATCAAGAAATCATTGTGTAGGCTATTGAACTGTACCTTCATACTTACTCTGATGGATTCAATATGTTAACAGTATGGGAATCATCTCTCAATTGATGAGGATAGCAAGATATAAATGCTCTCCCATCCTGAGATTCATATATATATATATATATATATATATATATATATATACATACATACACACACATGTATATATGTATATATATGTATGTATGTATGTGCTTTTTACACTAGCTTTTGCACAAATCATTCATCAGTGGTAATATGTTGCTGTCTACTTTGCCCCACTTTCCATTGTCTTTCCATTGTATTTTCGGTCACCTAATTATGATTATGATTCTTCTGAGATTATGTAAATCCATAATCTGTAGCCATATGGTATGATGGAAAGATTACTCATGGTGAAAAGACAGACTTATATGTAAGAGAGAAGCCTGGGATCACTAAAAGTACTTATTGTTGGTTAGCTTTACAGATCTTTTTTTTCTTTCCTCTTTCAAAATTCTTTATTATAAAGGATGGCTTTCTGGGAGGGAGTGGGGAGACAGGATTAAAAAAAAACATAAGTGATATGAAAACAAGATATATCAATAAAAATTTATATTAAAAGAGTACTATATAATTTCTCAAATGCAATCCTGTCAATTCTTCTATTCAATTGTAGGCTTGGCTCACTGTCTATCTGAAGTATGTGCCCAAGATATATGGACTGACAGACTAGCTCAACAGATTGCCCATCCAATTGTATATCACACTGGATGATAAGTATTATTCATCTAATTTTGGGGTCTTTTTTGGTAGAGATTAATAGGTTTATCTCATTTGAGAAATCATGGATCCCCACTGAGGAGTTGTAGGTAGTATTCTGGGTCTTGCAGAATTTACTTGTAATCAGCAATGATTCCAAAATAGGAGCATTCAGATTCACATCACTCTACTGCTAGCTTCAGTAGGAAAATGGGCAGAAGCCAGATTTAAGCTAAGAAATTCTGAAGGCAATGGAGAATTTTGGTATTGTGATTTTGAACTGGTCGAGGGAAATCTTGGGAAGACCTTTGTCAAAGGAGAAGGAATTGACCTGAAGGATTAGAAGGACCTAAAAAGAAGAACCCAAGAAAACCCAACAGATAGAAAGAATCAGCAGGAAGTTGGTAAAAAGGTAAATTGGTAAAACAGGCAATTGGCAATTGGTAAGATAAAGAAAAAGAAGGTGTGAATGTCAAGGGGCAATCAAGGTGATATAGTTCTAACAAGGTGATAAGAAATGTGACAAACGTGGAGCTAAATGTCCCCACAAACAGAACTCCTCTTTGCCACAGAAGTTATCCAGGATGGCTGATAGCCAGAATGACAGAGTGGCATTTCTTATAATTATGATATGGCCAAATGACTGCTATCTATGCTCAGAGGGTAAGCTAGGGTCCTAGAAGAGAAAGTAATGATTACCTTTTCACATACTCCAGGCTATTAAGAAAATTAAAGTACTGTTAATAAAAAAAAAACAAAACACTAAACCACAAAAGTGAAGAACAGTTTCAATGTGAAAACAAAGAAAAAGGGATAGGAAGATGCAGAGAAAAATTCTGACATGAGTCAGGAAAACTGAAGAGTAGAAAAAAAATGTGATCTAGAAAGCAATGGGAAGAAAGTCCACAGAACCTTTAGGACTATGCTGAACTGGATAATGAGAAAACAGCTACTTATAGTTCTAGGAATGATGATGTTTAACCATAGATATTGCCAGGTGAAAGGTTATCCAATAAAGATCCAAGGAAAAAGAGATGAGAAGGAGGAGGTTGGTAAACACCTGCTGAGAGGTAGTGAGGCAATTATTTGTCAACCTAACAACAGGGACATCAGCTGTTTTCCTAAGGCATGTATCTAGAAAAGAAAAGACACTCTGAAGATTTGTAAAACTAGATGACCATTAATAACCTATGCTGAATTACATGGGAACAAATGATACTGCCAAAAGGAATCTAGAAAGCATTGCTAAAAATTATTCAGCCTTGAGCAGGAAACTAAAATCCTTATGGGCAGAGATGGTGTTTTCATCACCACTAGTGACTGTAGGCAAGAACTTCTGTAACAGATTTTAACAGATTAAAATGCAGAAATGACATCCTCCAGGACAAAAAAGTAAAGTGTATCTTACAAAGGACCAATAAAAACTTATATTCCTGCAGTTTTACAAATCTATTAGAAAAGTACTTAAACAGAAAAAAAGGTGAAGAATTCTGCTTATGTATATCTACCAAGCTAGAAACTATAGATTACAGCTGCAACACTGTAAGGATAGCAGCAGAAGCACTCAAATTTAAAAGAGACTAAATCCAAGAAAGGAGACAAGAGTAAAATCCATAGCTTCAGTGGTCTATGTACAGTTGCATAGCATGTGTGTGTGTGTGCACGTGCGCGCGCGCACACTTGTGTAAAGTAAGGTAAACCAGAGATGCAAGTCCAAGAAAGCAAATTAGACTGCACAGGCATCACTGAGAATTGGCAGGATGAGACCTGTGACTAGAATTTGGCCTGGATGGGTATATCTTACTCAAAAGAGACAGGATAAGAAAATGAGGGACATATTAAAATTGCATATTACAAAGATATGATGTTGAACTAGAGCATGGGAGTATGGTAAAGAACATCTGGGTTAAAGTCAATTAAGGTAGAAACAGAAGTAATATCAGGAAATACTACATTCTAACTGGACAGGAGAAAATAAATAAGTGAATTTGAGAAAAGAGATCATAAGCCTAGCATGGCAGCATAATATAATGGACAACTCCAATTATGTGTTTATCTAATGGAGTTTTCTCTCCGCCAAAAGAACAGCTAATAATTTTTCAAATAATTTTAATGAGAATTTTATCCTTGGAATGGAGGATCCAATCCTTTAACTGATTCTCATAAACACTCCTAGGGGTGGAAATGATGAAAAATTTATAAAGTGACTACTCCATATTAGAAACTGAAATAGAGAAGGGAAAGAAAGTTGAGCATGGTCTGATATGCACCCTAGATTACTGGAGAGATTTCAAAGAAAGTACAAAACACGAGACTCATTGAAAAAGATCAATGTGGATGCCAAAGTAAGAAACAACTCAGTAATTTTTAAAAGTATAGAAGATGGAAGCAAGAGCAGTAACAGGATGAATAAAAAGTGTGGGACAGTCCTATGAGAATAGTATCAGGAGTGCTAAAACTCAGAGTAAGCTGACTTAAGACCTTTGGGTTTTTAATGGAACCCAGAAAAGGCAGAGCTGCTCAATTATTTTACTTCTGTTTTCTCTGCCATGGAGAATGGTCGTTATACTTAGAAAGGGTAGGAAAAATGGTGAAGGAGTTGATCCCCACATACATAGTGAGATAGCAAAAAACCACCCAGGTACCCATAATGAATTTAAATCACCAGGTTCAGATGTTAGCTGATATATAGCAGATGTGATGACTAAGCTATTGATTGTAATCTATACAAGATCATGGAGAACAGAGAAGGCATTACAGGATTGGAGAAGGGCAAATGTTCTGATTTTTGAAAACAGGAAAAGAATTTGTAAACTCTAGGTTAGTGAACTAGATTTCAAATACTGGCAAAAAGTATTACTTAAGACACAGTTGGTGAACATCCAAAAAAGGAGACAACTAATTACAAAGAGCCAGCATTATTTTGTCAAGGCCAGGTTATCCCAGACTAACATTATTTATTTTTGACAGTATTACTAGACAGACAGAATACAATTTAAGTCAATCAATCAACAAGCATGTATCAAGCACCTACTATATGCAAAACACTGTGAAAGGTGCTGAGGAAAGAAAAACAAAAACAATGCCTGGTACTATTCTAGGGGAAAAGATGTGGGCTAGTAAAATTAGGTGGATTCAGAGTTGTTTGAATGGCAAGAGCATAGTCATTAATAATTTGATGTCAATATGGAAAGCTTTCTGTGGAGTGTCTGAGGGATTTGTGAGAGGATGGCTAATATGATGGATTAGTCAAATTTGATGAGTCTCTTGACAGGCTAGAATGCTGTGCCAAATCTAATAAGATGAAGTTCAAAGGGGAAAATGTAAACACACCAATGTTAATATAGACATGTAGGTACATGTGTGTGTGTGTGTATACACACGCACACACATACATATACACACACATACACATATATATTCACAAGTACAAGCTAGAAGTATATAGACAGTTCTTGTTTTATGTAAATTTTCATTATGCATATTCAACTTTATGTAAATCAACACACACAAAAAAACAACCACTCATACTAACTTTACTGTATAGTACTATGCTCTCTCTCTGCTCCTGCCCTTCAGCTTGGCACTCCACAGCCTCCCATCCCCCTATCAAAAAAAACCTTAAAAAACCCAACACAACACCTACAAGTGAAAGCAAAACAGACTCCTAAAGACTGCTACCACTGGATGGGGGCTTGGCTTCAGGCAGAGGGTGGAGAAAGAAGACCTCTACCCTGTGCTGCCCACCCACCTGCAAGTCTGTCCTTGGCTCCTCTGCTCTTCTTGCATCACTTTTCTGTCCCTGGACCCCATGTGTCCTTGAACCATGTGCTGGCACCCTCCCTCCACTGGCCCGTGACCCCCACTCTGTCTCTGTCCTTCTCTCCTTTCCCAACGTTCACTGGCAAATTCGCATTAGCTAAAAATTGCTTCATGTAGAGGTCTGTGGAACAGTCTACTTACATAAAGCAAGAACTGTCTGTATCTAGAAAAGAGTTCATCTGCAAAAGATCTGAGGATTTTAGCTAACAGAATCTTAGACTGCATCAAGAGAGACAAAAGGTGTAGGGCTGAGGAGGCAATAGACCATTGCACTTTGCCCTGGTCAGATCACAACTAGAGTAAACTAAGAAACCAGGAAGCATTCAGAGAGCAGTAATCAAGATCATGGTAATTATTTAATCTAATACTTTTATTTTATACAAGAGGAAACTGAGGACCAGACAGGGAAGTGACTTAAAACAAGGACATGGCAGGATTAATCAATGGCTTTAAATCCAGGACTTCCTGACCATATCAGCTGTAGGGTTTTAAGATCCATGCCTTATGAAGACTGGCTTGAAGGACATGAGGAGATTCAGAAGACTCAGGAATAACATGGCAGTCATCTTCAAATATCAGAAGGGCTGCCATGTGAAAGAAGGATTACACATGCTCTGTTTGGCTCCAAAGGTTAGAATAAGGAGCAGTGATTGTAAGGTACATAAATCTAGGCTTGATATAATGAAAACAACTGGAGCCATCTAAAAGTGAATGCGCTGCCTTGGGACAAAGGGTTCTCCTTTTCACCAGAGATCTTCAATCAAAAGCTAGATGACCACTTGAGGAGATTCTTCTTCAGGTTTAGGCTGGACTAGAAAGCCTGTAAAAGTCCATTCCAACTCAAGAGATTTGATGATCTGTGACATGTCTCCTATAAAGAATTCCTATTTGGACTTTGCACAAGGCAGTCTTTGGCACACTGGTGAATACTTTTGGCAAGCATATGCTCATGAAATTTGACCATCAGCTCATTTAGCAATATCACCTCTGTGGCATATATCAAAGATCTCTGTGTGACACTTATACCTAGGAGACAGTCAGCTTGTTGGAAGACATTCATAAACTATACCGAGTCTGCTACATATAGACTCAAACACCTGTAATCAACAAAGAACAACATATTGTTTTCTGTCTCTATATTGTGTGATTGTGAAGACTGATTTTCTGTAGAGCATATTCTGTGAAATTCTGCCTACTCCCTCTTTATATTTTAATAAACAATAGTCTCTGTAAGTGTATTGCCTATTCTTATCAAGATTTTAAGGAGATAAGGATAGGCATGTGAGTTGGTATTTACCGATAGCTTCTTGCCTTTTATTGGTAATAACACCATTTTTAACCTTTTGGAATCATCTTTTTGGAGATCTTGAAAATGGATCTAAGTGACTTTAAAACTGTTTTGCCATCTGTATGTATTTCCTCTGAATGTATTTGGTCTGTTCAGATGCTCTTCTTGACTTCATTATTTTGAGTACCATTTCTACTTCCTTATCAGCTATTAAAAGGACAAATGTGTTGGTTCTTCTCTCACTATTTTATTTTTATTTTTTTTTAGGCAATTGGGGTTAAGTGACTTGCCCAGGGTCACACAGCTAGTAAGTGTCAAGTGTTTGGTCTGAGGCCGGATTTGAACTCAGGTCCTCCTGACTTCAGGGCCAGTGCTCTATCCACTGTGCCACCTAGCTGTCCCTCTTCTCTCCCTATTAATAGATTAATATAAAATGCTGGCAGATTTTTCTGTAACGTTGATATTCTTGGGATAATCCCACTTAGTTGGGTCTCACAATAAATTTTCTGCAGAATTGTTTCCTCCAACACTTTTCATTTTTTTGTGAAGCAAAACTGCTCATAATCTTTTCATATTCACCTTCATAATATTTAACAAATGAGCTTGTATTCTAAGCTGATGATACGCTTGGCTATCATATCTCTCCACTGAACAAGTGTTTCCTGGCTGAGACAATACTTAAATTCTTTTGGCCTCCTTGTTGTGGTGATCTGAATACTGGTTAAACTCTCCTAAGAAATAGTGATAATCAGAATTAATATCTTTATTATTATCCATTTTCCACAGTTTATTCAAATATGTGAGGTAGGAACTACTGTAATTACATGTAGTGTTATCTTTATCTTTTTTTCTAATTTACTAATTTTTAGTTTTGCTGTATTAACAATAGAATTTATATAGCACTTTGAAATTCACAAAACACTTTTCTCACAACAACCCTGTGAGCTAGGGTGACAGGATTATCCCCTTTTATAGATGGGGAAACTAAAGCTCTGAGAGATTGAATTACTTGCCCATGAACACAGCTAGCAAGTATCTGAGGCAGAATATGAATGTAGGTTTTCTCATCCAAGTCCAACACTATACCACACTACTACCATGAAGTCAATGACCTGAACACCAGCTGACAGATAATGCTGAAATGAATCCCATTTTAGTAACCAGACATTTCTTTTCTATTAAGACACAGTAAATTTCATTAAAAAAACCCTGATATTGTTTAGTGCTTGTCCTGCCCAATGCCTTCTGATGCTTTCTGAAACAAGTATTGATGATACATACGTGAGGCTTCTGAGTAATTTATATGCCTCTGGTCTCTTTAATTTCTTAATCCTGAACCATATTTTCCAACACATTTTTTGGTTGTTTTCCCTGTGCCCACCTTCATACTGAAGTCACTGAGTATCAAGGTATATGTTCACTTGGTTTTGAGGAACTTGTCAAGTTCTTCGTACTTTCTCCTCTGCAAGAAATGTTAGCACATATGCTACAATTATTGTCATGGCAGTCCCCTTTGTCTATTATTTATCAGGAGATTTGGCCAAGATGTGATGATCAGGTATTTCATGAAATGACATTTTTATTTCCCTCTGAATAAAACCAGCCCTGTCAACTCCTTTACTCATTTCTACAAAGAAAACCCGGGCCTAAGCCATCCTTCTGTTTAATTCCAACTTCTGTGTCTTCTGTGTCTTCAATAAAGACATGGTTCAATTTCTCCAATACCATATCAACTACCCGGGTCACTGGACAAAGATCTTAGTGAGATTTAGGAGTAGCAACAAGTAAACAGTCCATAGATGGGCTATACAGATATTTTCTTTCATGCTACTTTGCACCACCGAATACAAGCAGAAGGGAGTTGCACAGGCCTGGGGGCCAATTTTTATCTATTTCATGTCAGGCATGGAATAGTGGATAGAGAACTGGCCTTGAAGCCAATAAGACCTGGATTCAAGTCCTGTCTTTGACACATACTGGCTGTGTGACTCTGGGCAAGTCCCTTACCCTTTTAGTGCTTTGGGCAACTCTCTAAGACTACAAATTGCAGAGAAGGTGCCCATTTGCATTGTTAAAGAGAGTTTCCTCATCTGGGAGAGTTCCCTACATCAATGAAATCACAGATTCAGTCTAACACTAGCCTTTATGTTATTACCATAGCCGAAGACTTTATCACTGAATGGCCAGTGTTCTGGTGATGAACTTCTTCATGCTTAGCTATGTTGGTCATCAGGCGCTAGACGCAGCCTCCTACCATAGCCCTAGTAAAAGTTTCAAAATTGGGGTACTAATATAGAGAAAGATATGAATATCAAAATGACAACTGATGACAAAATATAAATTTCTATACGTATCAATCAAATTATGTTACATATTAACTTACCTTTATGTTTTTCTTGTGCCTCTTCTCTTTGATGTGCTTATGAGCAGATGCAATGGATTCAACTAAGACATCACAGAGCTTGCATATGTATTTTGCTGTGGGGTAGTTTCGTGAGCGCTGAAATTTAGAAAGATATAAATATTGCCACTCATAAGTTAGCCCAAAAGTTAGTTCCTGTCTATTTCCTGAAGTGTAGAAGAGTAAATTAACTTTATTTAACCATTACACATCACTAACTTTAAGTCAATGAATATAATACCAGAAATTTTGTAAAAACAGTTACATTTATATAGAATATATAATTCCACGTAATTTAATTCTATGGAATGTGGTCTAACATGTAGTGTTTGATCCTTAATAATAGAAAAGTAACTTTCAACATTAAAAATACTGCCTATTGTTAATGAAAGTATGTGAGAAAACATTACCTTTCTTAGCCTGTCAATACAATCTCTCTTTAATCGTTCCTCAGCCTGTCGTAAGCCCAGTAGTTCTTTCACTGACAGCACTGACTCATCTATAACAGGGCCATCCATATCTTCCTCTTCATCATGTTCTTCTTTTCTAGTTCTCCTCGATTTTCTGGGTTTCTTTGGCTTCTTGTTTTCTTAAGTTAAAATGAATTTCATTAGCAGTATTCCACTTAAAAAAAGTTAGGTGTGACTAACTATCCATTTTAGCTGAAAAGACTGGACTGTTAAACTGAGCAGTAGAAAAGATGTGGTTTTCCTATAATCAAGTTCACTTGACTTTAAGTACCTCATGGCTATTTCAATCCTTTATAAGGTATACAAAGGATTCTTTCCTGAAATTTTAATTTAAATCTTTTGTTTTTCCATCACAATTTCTAAATTCATCCATTCCCTACTAAGTAAGCAATTCCTCATAACAAAGAATAAGAGGGAGGAAAAAACTCCCAAAGAGTTCAGACAAACAATTATCACAATTCAATATGACATTATATTCAATATTCCATATCCATAGTCTTCTACCTCTGCAAAGACAAGGAGATGTATTTTCTGAACTCTTCTGCAGGGCCAAGTTTCTTGGAAATTATAATCACACAGCATCCAGCTTTTTGTTTTTGTTCATCATGAATTTTTTTTTTTTTGCTTTTTGGTGAGGCAGTCAGGGTTAAGTGACTTGCCCAGGGTCACAACGCTAGTAAGTATCTGAGGCCACATTTGAACTCAGGTCCTCCTGACTCCAAAGCTGGAGCTCTACCCACTGTGCCACCTAGCTGTCCCCCATTATGAATTTTTATGGCATGCTTAGAAAATGGAAAGCCTTAAGCGAGAAAATCTACTTTAGTCATTATTTTTTATACTTTTCTTGCAGTTTAATGGAAAAGAAACTTAAGGGTAAAGAGTATGACTTCTGAATGCATGCCTGCACATACTATTCAGATAAAAGTCAATTTCTACGCCATTATAAGCTCTTTTTCAGGATAGGAATACCACCATTTAAAATATTTGTATTCTTAGCACCCAGCAGTAACCCTCATGTAAGAGGTGCTTTAAAAATTGCTGTTAAATTGAATTTAGACAAGCTTTTATTTTTAACTCAACAGACTAAAAAACAAAACAACAACCACAACCACCAAAAAATCCATATCAGAAACTTATGAATAAAACACATGATAGAAAGGAAACCCAATATTTGGCCATTAAATCTTTCAGCAAAAGGCAATTTATAAAACACCCCAAAGTCCTGAGACCAAAAAATGTCAGAATATGTGAATTCTTACTAACACTTAACAGCATTAAACTATTTCCTATTTTCTTCAAACTTTTACCTTTCCCCATTATCATTACCTAATTAGTTTACATATTTCAAGTAATATGAGGAAGGGGAAGAGTTAATATTACCAAAATAACCTTTTTTTCCAAAAATAAATTTATTTCTTCATGAACTCTGCTAGGTTCTCATCTCCCTCAGGCCAAAGAAATAATCTGCTCCTCTTACAAAATGCAAACATCTGTCTATGGGACTGAAATAAGGATTACGGGGTAAAACTTTGAAAAATTATTTGGTTTTATGCAGCTTTGGATGGGTCCTTGCACAGCTCTAAAAACAAAGCAATTTGAATCTCAAGTTCAAGTTTTGATCCAAATGGTTCAAAGAATAGTTTAAAAAATTATTCTTTGGAAGTGTACACCAACAGAAAAATTATACTTTGGAAGTGTACACCAACAGAAAAATACACTATTTCTAAGTCAAGTATGCAGCATAACTCAGCACATATAGTCCTACCACATGTGTAAGACCAGAAATGAGTCAGTCATTTAAAAGAAAAATTCTGTGGCAGTTGGAGGCCCTGGATCTTCATTCCAAACCAAAACACGCCAACAAAAAAATTGTTGACAAGAGCTGTAAACGCTAAGTAACACTCTGCTTATATCACTATATAAGAAACACAAATTATGTTTTCTGAGAAGCTCCTAAAAATACTATCCCTGGCTGTTGGGAGAAAAAAGTAAAAAAATAACAGTTGGGGAAAGCGCAACTGAAAAGTAGTACAAAGGAAGTCCCCCAAAAAACCTTTAAGACACAGTCCTATAAAGAAATGAAACAGTTTTAGGGAGAGAATTAAGGCAAAAAAATTATTTTAGAAAGTAAAGCATCTTATTTATGAGATTTAAAAATATGCTCATTATCTTGGAATCAGGAAGACCTTAGTTCAAATCCAGCCTCAGTCACTTACTAGCTGTATAACCCTGGGCAAGTCATATAGCCTGCCTCAATTTCTTCAACTGTAAAATGGGGATAATAACAGCACCAACCTCCCAGCACGATCGTTATGAGGATTATAATAATAATAATAATGGCAAAGCCCTTAGCACAGGACTGGTACATAGTAACATAGTAAGTGCTTAATAAGTGTTTGTTTCCTTCCTTCTTTTTCTTTTCTAAGTAGCAATTATCATAAGAAGCATCCTTTAGTGAGATCAGCAAGAAGATATCTCTGCAAGGTTTCTAGATAAAAAGTTGCACCTTCAAGTGGTTTTTCCAACTTCATAAAATCAATCTAAATTATCTCAATAATAGGAAGCAAAAGAAATAAACTAAGTTGAAGCTATGATGCTACAGGGAATTATGAGTAACTTTTTAAAAGTAATCTCTTCATATTTTTGTGCATAATTGTAAGTGGATATACTACCCTTAATGGTATTAATCTAATACAAATCCAACAATTATTATTAACTGTATATTGAACTGAATAACACTTCTTTCATTTCCCCTAAAAATTTAAAAACAATTTGTTCAGGAAATTAAGACAATACTGAAATTTTCTTGCAAATATTCCAAAGGAATTTTTGAAAAACATTTGTCAAAATGTCAAAACTTATTGTTCTGAAAGTAGCTATCCAAGACCAAATTTGCAACATACAATGTTGTCAAAAGCTTCTCAGAACACATCAAGAATGATTTTAATTCAGGTGTGGCTACATTGTCATTTGCCCCACCTTTTAATAATGTAATCTTCCTTCAATGACTGTCTGAATTATACTTTCTCAATCACAGAGAGATTTTTTTTTAAACTTGAGACTAGGCAAGAATATTTACATTAATGTAGTTTCTATAATTATCTGTAATATCTAATACAGGGGAACTGGTTGAGGTGGGGAGGAGTTAACAATGTAATAATGAGGTCTATCTACTGGCTTTGCTTCTTTGGGCTTTATTCGTGGAGGACTTTTATTGTGCAGAAAGAGGTAGCAGAAGACTGAGAACCATTTAATTTTTACACAGAACCAAGTTTTCTTTATACCAATTTTCTTTCTCAGGGTCACTTGGCTTACCAGCATCTTAAAACTATTATCTTCTATAGCTTACTCAACACATCCAAACAATTATCCTTATGTCTGGACAGTAGTGGCTTCTTTCTACAGAGATTGATATTAACACCACATTGTCCACATACAGCAGAGGAGATGTGATTACTGTTGATATTTGGCCAGAATTCAGTTACCAAGGAGGAAGACACTCAAGCACAATCATAAAAAGTAATCAGAAAATCTTTGTATCAAAACAACTAATCAATGCATAGCATGTACGAGTCTCAACTTTTCATAGTTGGGAGGTTTCATCAAGCTTCCTGTTAACATTTTATTCTTAAAATCTAAAGCAGCCTTGCCCAATGCTAGACTGTGTATGAGCCAAGGGCACAAGATAGGAAAAGCAACTGGTAACAGATCCACATGTCACAGAAGAAATTATTACTGTGTTTTCTGCACATGTAGTTTGCTCAATGGAATCACAGACCTCATCCAAAAATGTACTTTTTTTTCCCAGGCAATTGGGGTTAAGTGACTTGCCCAGGGTCACACAGCTACTGTCAAGTGTTTGGTCTGAAGCCAGATTTGAACTCAGGTCCTCCTGACTTCCAGGCTGCTGCTCTATCCACTGTGCCACCTAGCTGCCCCCAAAATGTACTTTCTACATGCAAAAATCTGTTTTTCTACCTTAAACAACAAGATTTATATCTCTCTCATACATTATTTCATCTCTAAGACACGAATCAATTTGGCACAGAGAGAGGCCCTATGATTTCACTGGTATATAAAGTTCCCACTGCCTCTGGCAAGGCAGGGGCAGCACTTCTTTCAAGAGTTACTAAGCACTGAGAAGTTTGGTGCCAGGAGCACATAGCCAGGACATCAGAGATGGGACTTGAACACAAATCTTCCTGGCTTGAGAGAATACATTTGAGTGGATTTATTTCAAGCAATATCACTGACAGAGTTGCCATTCAATTCTTTTTTTTTTCTTTTGGTTAGGCAATGGGGTTAAGTGACTGCCCAGGGTCACACAGCTATTTAGTGTTATGTGTCTGAGGCCGGATTTGAAATTGCCATTCAATTCTTACACAAAACTGAATGTCTGGTAGCCTTTTTTTTAGAGAAAAGATTGAAAAAATGGAAAATTAGCAGGAAAAATACAGCAAATCCCACACTTCAAAAAGGAAAGATTCCTTTTTTTAAAAAAACTGATATCTGATACATGATTACTATGCAATCAGAGCCCATCTATAAAACTGCTTTAAAGTATATGGCATAGAATCATCTCATACGGGTTTTTCTACCTTTAAGAATATCTTGGTAATTCAGTGACTAAACTTCTATTCAATATGTTTTTCAAGTTATTGTGATAATTCTTTCTTTAGCTACTGTGTTACTACTCTCTGCTCTCCGCCCCCAGACCTCCCCAAAATAGGATGGTTTTGGAGCAGCAGCTCTAAGTAGTAGATATAGAGCCTTAAGTATCACCTCTGACATATATTGACTGTGTGATTCTGCACAATCCTAAGTAACTTTCTAAGGCAGCAGAATTGTTTTTCTGCATTGATAGAAGGAGATTTTTCACAGGGGAGTGCCCATCCCAAAGCTGATGAATCAGAGAACCAGGACAAATCCTCATCCACCAAAACAGTTAAAATTACAGAATTTTTTTTTAAGAACAGAGCTAAAGACAGAAGAGTTCTTCAGTTCGAATACTTTTTTCTAGCAATGTCTTTACGTACAAGTATTGTCTCAAATTTGTAAGCTGCTTAAGAACAGACTCTGCAAAAATGAACTGCAACTGGCACTATTCAACTGTAACTTTTAAAAAAGTTCTTTGTTATCTTGTTTCTTTCTTAAAGCCCCAACTACAGAATTCTAATAAACTTTGATGGTGCTCCCTTTTCTGCATAAAATATCATCTACACCCCTTGCCTGAAGGTGGAAGTAACAGAAACGTTAAATTTTTTTAACATGCAAAATGAAAGCCCCCTATTTTAAAAAACAACCTAATTTCAACTTTCTTATAATGTTTTTCATTATGTTATGTATATGATAAATTAACTAATGTACTTTAGTTTTCACCCTAGTTCTACCAATGATTAACTCTGACCTCAGGAACCCTATTTAATTGGACTGTGCTTTCTTTATCTGTAAAATAGGTATTCAAACAAACTCTTAAGTAGTTACTACATATATATTTTTTCTGATGTTCCTGTTAAAAAACCAAAATAACTTAATACAATTTCCCACAATGCAACAGGCATTCTGATAATAAAATCATGGATTTTTTTCTTATGCATTTACCCACTATTCCTTTAACAATTCCTAATGATACCCCAACTAATTTCTTCAAGTAATCACTAGCCTTGTATGACTAAACTTCTTAAATTTAATTCAGGATTTTTCACATACTGTTGATTTATTGATAAAGACATAGCTATAACTACTGTACATCTGATAAAAATTATGATTCAGATGGCTATTTACACAGAAATAGTTAAAACATTCAAAGAAATTACCTGCATTTCACCTTTTGGAAAAACTTATAATTAATTAATGATTTGTTCTGAATAACTGGTATCAACCACATGAGGATCCCTTAAGATAGGTTTCAGTGTTCCCAGAAACTAAACATCAAAACTCTTATCTGTATTTCTGATGTTCTAAGTGGATTAATTTACAGAAACAAAATGATCACCCTGAAATGTTACATGCTAATAAGACCAGGATATGAACTATTCTGCCACTGTCCAAATGTCATGATTATATTTCTTAAAATAATGCTTTAAATAAGTGACTACTTTTTGGAAAGAAGACCTGAAATGGAAAAAATGGAACTCCACTACTGAAAGCAATAAAAATTCATTTAGATAAGAATGCTAGATGAAAAGACATTCTTGCACTGGGGTTTTAACTGCAGAAGTTGGGATATATTACCAGAGCCTCCTGTTTGCATTTCTGAAATTTCTATGTTTGTTAGGTCTTTTTGAAGTTGCCATCTTACACTTCTGCATCCTCTTCCATCTTGCCACCTATGGCCATCTTCACCTTCCTGAAATGCATCTTTTCTTGGTCGATTTATAACAGGAATCCTAGAGCCAGTTTTGAAATCTAACCAGTTATCTGTTTCGTTCAATTCATCAGATAGCCATCTCTTAATATTATCTTTGTGGCTGTCATTTGTTCTTGCTCCTTGACCGTGACCCATGTTTTTAGGTACATTTGGACTGCTTGAAATAGCATGTGTCCTTTCCTGGGGCTGTTCCCATAGCTCCCTGGTGTTCCTTTTTTGGGGGGAAGGCCTTTTTCTGTTTTACTGCCATGTCCATTACCAGAATCATCCATTATTAAATAGTCTGGTTGTGGAGAAGCCCTCCTGAAATCATCTTCTATAATTCCACGTTCCTTATTTCGCTTGAAAAAACAAGGTTTTGCCGCATCTCCCATCGTCTGTGCCTTTCAGTTTTCTTTGAGGTATCTGAAAAATTTTTTAGTAATTTATTTGAACAAATAACATTACACTACTTTAAAAAATCGAACAATTTTTCTACACAAGTACCAGAAAGCATTTATGATTACTAGAATAAATATAACTAACACTTAAGTTCGCAAAGAATTAAGTATAGGGAGGGTGTGAACTCATGCCATCTAGAAACTAAGTCTAGTTTTCTACCCTACATTACTTTGCCTCTCTCACTAAACTAACATCAGAGGTGATGGGGAACAGATTAAACTGGAAGGGTACATCCCAAACAGTGTGGACAACCCTTAAGAAGGTTAACAAAAATGATTCCAAGTCATTGTTCCATTTCTTCTACTGCGCTGAGAGGAATGTGAGGAGGGGGAGGCAAGACAAACAGCTTTGAAACACCTTCACTGTTTATATATTACCACGGAGTTAAAGTAATTTAAACTAAATTTCAAGCAGTCTTTATAAAGAGAACATTTTGTTTTTGTAATGTGACTATGATATCACCTTGAAATGAAATCGTCTCTGAGAGCAGGAATAGTATACTGTTGTGGTACGTATAATGTTCTCTGGTTAAAATAGTATATTTATAACATAATTGATTCAAATACTGGTTAAAATATGTGGGTTACCGTGATACAAATTTTATAATGAAGCAGCTTATTTTACTAAAAATCTTATTTCCTCACAATCTTGAAAAACCATTATTATTCACATATTTATTTAGAAAAACTGATTTTTGTGGCACTAAGATCTCATGATTCTAAGTGTTTTATCAAGTTTCACAAACAGTATTATAAAAATGGTAAATAATACCCAAGCCTTATTTTCATTTATAGCTAACTATTGAAATGTCATGTTTCAGATTTTATTAAACAATGAGAATTTCTTGGTAAAACTTTCTGACTTAAGAGGTTACTTAATTAGAATCCCTTACTTCGTAAAATTATGAAAATCATCAACAAACATGAACATTACCATATATTAAAAGGGACAGAAAAACAGGATTGTATCTAAAACACTAAATCTATTACATATAGCTTTTTAAATATACATTAAAATTTAACATGGTGGTATACTGCACTGATTATTTGAGTCCTTCTGAACTTCCTCCTACACATGTTTTAAAATGTTTCAATGATGCTTTTTATTTTCTTTTGTTTTCTGAATCATCACCAAAAAAACCCCTCCCTTGTAGGGAATAAATGTAGTCAAGAAAAACCAATTTGTGTTGTACTGGTTACGTCTGGAAAAAATGGTATTCTACATCCAACCAACACTTCCTCACCAAGAGGTGGGAGGCCTATCTCATCTACAACAGGGTCTTAACATGGGGTCCAAAAATTCATTTTTCAAAAACATTTGAATAACAGTACTTCAACACAGTTGCCTTTGTAATCCTATTGTATATTATGCATTTAAAAACACTTCTTGGGTTAATAAGGTTTCACTAAAATGCCACCAAAAAAGGCTAAGATCTATAGACTTCTGGAGTCAAGATTGGTCATTTCATTTTTCTAGAATTAAGTTTTTCAAAGCTGTTTTCGTTTACAATATTGTAGTCATTACATATAGCTCTGGCTCTACTCATGTCACTGCTTGAGTTCACATTAAGTCTTCCCAGGATTCTCTAATTATTCCTTTTCAGCATTTCTTATGGCACAATAATATCTCTTACATTCACATATTATAATTTGCTCATCCATTTCCTAACCTGAGGGTACCCTACTTTGTTTCCAGTTCTTTCTCAACAACAAAAAGTGCTACTAGTCTTCAGCACATACAGATCCTTTAGCAGTCTTGAATCTCTCTGAAAGGTAGCTTCCTTAGCAGTGGTAATGCTGGGTCAAGGTATGCACAGTTTGCAGACTTTCTGCCAAACCTCATTTTACAGAGGAGGAAACCAAACCTCAGGAAGTTAAAGAACTCGTCCAAATTCCCACATAAAGTAGCAAAGTGTAAATTCGAACCCAGATCCTCTTGACTTGCAATGCAGCACTCCTCGCACTGCAAACACCAATGTCTCCCTTAGACCCTGGTCCACCTCCGTCTCCACACCGCTAGAAGAAGAGGGGGTAGGAGGGGAAGGAAGCTGCCCGAGCCGCCGTCACTGCCTCCTGGACGTCACAAGGGGGGCAGTGGAATGACCCGGGACCCCCACCCCAAACACCGGGAAAGAGCCCCCGCCCGGGCCCGTTCGGTCCCCCACGAACAAAGCGGAACAAAACAGGCTAGGCCGGGGCCTCCCAACTCGTGCCGGTGCCGCCCCGGGTGGCGCCCCGGCCGGGAGACTGCCCCGGGGGCGCCAGGGGAGGGCGAGGACACGGGCCAACTGTACACCCGGCCCGGCCCGGGGACCGACCCGGCCCTGCGCTGCCTGCCCCGCCGGCGCCCTGGGGCTCCGCGGCCACAGCGCAGACAGACCCCGAGGGGCGAGGCCAAGGACCGAGGGCAGAATGGGGGAGCGGCGGGTAAGACGAGAGAGACCACCTGGACCTCTCGCCCCCACCACTAGCCCCCTCAAGTACACACTCACCGCCTCCGTAGCGAACCCCCACCTCTTCCGGCCTCGGTCCCCGCTCGGGCTTGTTTTCTTTCGGCCCCACTTCCGGCGCTCAAGCCCCGCTTCATTGTGCGTGATTGGAAGCCGCGGGTGTCACAGCCCAAGACATCCGCCGCCCTCGCGGGAAACACGCGCCGTGCAAACAGGAGGCCCGGCGACTTTCTTGAGCTCCAGTCGGGCTTCTTCGCAGTCTCCACCCCCTTTCTCCACGTTCTCTACCAGCCCTACCCCCCAGCCGGGGTCTGCCTGAGCTACCACCAGGGCGGGAATTTCTCTCCGGCCTCGGGCTAAGTGGGAAAGTGTTTGCGACCCCTCCTACTCCTACCCAAAGCGGGGTCTGACCCTGAAATCGGGTCTAGGTCTTCTGTTACTTCATCGTGGGGTGCGGAGCTGCTTGCCAGAAGCCTTGAAGGCCGTCGTCATAATCTATCCATTCTCTTCTTGCATTAGTGCCTGACTTTCAGTGTCTATCCAGCCTATTCGCATTTTGATAGTGGGGGTCCGCAGAATGCTAGACCTTGCCCTCCCATCCCCTGCTGCAGAAGACCTTGCACTTTTGAAGAGTGGAATGGGTAGGTAACTCCTCCACGAGAAATAACCTTAACTCTACAGCAGCACCCCTAAAATTGCAATACCATCTATTAATCTTACATTCTATTTTCTTTAACCTATGAGATGCAGGAGGGTTTTCTTTTTTTGTGCCCAGCACAGTGCTTTGCATCCATCTTTCTTTCTTCCATTTCCTTCCTTCCTTCCTTCCTTCCTTCCTTCCTTCCTTCCTTCCTTCCTTCCTTCCTTCCTTCCTTCCTTCCTTCCTTCCTTCCTTCCTTCCTTCCTTCCTTTCTCTCCTCTCTCTCTCTTTCTTTCTTCCTCCCCTCTTTTCTCCCTCCTGTCCTTCCTTCCTTCCTTCCTTCCTTCCTTCCTTCCTTCCTTCCTTTCTCTCCTCTCTCTCTTTCTTTCTTCCTCCCCTCTTTTCTCCCTCCTGTCCTTCCTTCCTTACTTTTTCCCTCCTTTCTTTCCTTCATTCCTCCGTCTTCCTCCCTTCTTTCCTCCTCCTCCTCATCCTCCTTCTCTCTCTCTTATTTTATTCATGTAAAGAACTCCCTGTTACGAAAAACCCTCTGCCAAAGCAGATCTGCAACTGTAGAGGGGGCAAGGATTCTTTATTTTTCTTTTTGTATCCTCAGCCTTAGTACAGTGCTTGGCACATAATAGGTGCTTAATAAAGCATATTTATTTATTTATTGATTGACTGTATAATTGTACAGCCTGTCACTGGATAGTCTGTAATTTATGATCCTAGAGCAGGCCTGCAAGACATACAGTCAGTGGGCCGCTTGCCCATCAAAAGATTTTGGCAGCCTTCAAAAAACGTAGAGGCTATAAAAGAAAATAAAGATGTAATGAGTGCTTTGTCTGTGCCCCACTTAATTAACCCGCCTTCCACAAGTGATTATTGTGCCCATCCTGTAACTTGGCGGGTGGGTTGCCACCTCAAACTCGCTGTTTGTCACGTGATCCTTAGCAACCAACCATCATGTCTGTCTCTAGTCTGAGAAGAGTGAGAGTTGTATCTTTTAACTGTGTTTTCAGTCATTACTGGTGTTGAACAAGGACAAAGTGAGTGCAGCCACTTGCCAATGCAGCTAATGCCTGCTATGTGACAAGGGGCAACAACTCAAGGGCTTCTTCCCCTCCCTTGCCATGCAAGTGAGGCCGTCCTCCAAGTTACAGGAGTGTCTGACACTCTCTCCAAGGTCAGACAATCAGTTCAGTATTTTTTTGTTTGGGAGCAGTTGCTATTGAATGGGATGTCCCAGTGAAGACTTCTCAGTGTAATTAAGGTAATGAGTTCAGAAGGTAGGATAGGGTTAAGAATAGATTTCTGTGAGTTATTTTTTTTAGTGACATATATCAATAGTTAAAATTTGTCTAATGGTTAAGTCTTAACTTACTTTTTAATCTTATTCAAATGCATCTTTGTCCCTAAAGGAATCTGGCTCCAGAAAACCCTTAAAAGGCTCCTTATCTACTCCCCTTTTCTCCCTTTGACAGGATCTTATTCAGATGCCTTCCAGTTCCCAGCATTGTCTGTTCAATCCCTAAGACCTTCCAAAACAATTGTAAATTATCTTACTAACTGCACACTTTTTAAAATTGCTTCTTTGACATTATCTCAACAAACTAAGAAATATAGAAATGTATACTATGTCCTTTGTCCTATGTTCGAGTCTGGCTTGTGAGATTGTGAGCCAAGTTAGTGGACAGCTGTGAGGGAGGGGGAACTGAGTCTTCAGGGTTATGTAAGCTGATTTCTACCTCTGTGGACCGTCTCCTGTCATCAGAGCTTACTGATGGACTGATGGAGGGACACCCAAATCTCGAGATTTGAAATAATAATAATTATAGCTATAATAAACTAACTTTCTGTTTCTCCTTGTACACCTCTGTGTTTTGTTTTATTTTTAATTTGAGTGGCATCCCACACGCTATGGAGATTTTTGGGGGGGTTCTAAGATTAAAGTTTTTGGTATGACTTTGTAAAATGGGTGATAAAAAGAAACAGAAAGTCGAATCAGAAAATAGAGTGTTTAATCTGGAGCGGACAAATAGATACTTGTTTACTTACATGAGAGACAAAATACTGTGCCTTGTTTGCCGAGAAGTAATAGCTATTCCAAAGGAATACAATCTTCCTCGCCATTTCAAATGAAAGCATCCTGACTTAAGCAAATTGAACACCAATGCGAAACAAATTAAAGCATCCAAATTGTTGAAAAATCTCAGTGGGAAAACAATAGTTTTTCAAGAAAGTAAACTCAGAAAATGAGGTGGCTACTAAGGTTAGTTTTCAGATTTCTAAAGAAATCAATTTCAAATATGATCCTGGAGTAAGATAAACTGTTGACAAGAAGTACAATACATTTCATTTATTAAATGTAAACAATAAGACAACCTGAAAAAATGTAATAAAACTTGTATTGCTTAGCAAAATGATTTTTAAACATTAATATGATTTCATAATAAATAAAAATCTTAAGTAGTAGGTATAATTGATATTAATTAAAATTTCCCCTTTAAAATATGGTTCATTTGCAAAATAGTTTAATCATTAATTATGCCTTTACTTGGAAAGTGAGCCACTAAAAACCTATCTGCAGCCTGAAGAAGTTTATCCTATTTTAATTTTGTCCTCTACCTACTGCCAAGTTGTACAGGTTTCCTAGTACTTAGAGAGTTGCCCAGAGCAATGAAAGTCTCAATTCTATTCATTCAGCCCAATTCAATTCAATTCAGCCACCTTTTTAGTCAATCAGTGCAAAGCTCTGGAGGGATAAAAAAATGAAGCAGTCTCTGTGCTCTAGAAGCTTACATTCTAGGGGATGAGTGTAGCAGGAAAATTAGCATATAATAATAAGGAACTTACTTTACACAGATAAGTATAAACAAAATTATGTGTAAAGTAAGCCAATTTACTTGGGAGAGTGCAGGAGTGGGAGTGAGGTTCAGGGATCAAGTGGTGTGCGAGCAGGAAGTGGTAGAATCTTGAATGAAGCTACAAATTCTAAGAGTTGGATGTGAGGAGTTGGCCGAATTGCTGGTAATGAGGGAAAGTATTTTAAAAAAGTTGAGCTGTGGGTGATAGAGTTTTGTGTGTGAAGATCAATGAGAAAGCAAGTTTGACTGGAGAGTTTAGCATGAATGGGTTGAAAAGTCAACAAGCATTTATTAATTGCTGTGTGTCAGGTACTGTGCTAAAGGTAGGTTAGACACAAACTGACCTATTTACTGTTTCCCATGAATGATATTTCAAATGCATTCTCCTTCCTTGGTACAAAAACCACCTAAATATTTTTCCTCCTGGCTCACTTTAAGCCTCAGCTTAAGTGCCAGAGGCTTCTAAAAGACTCTTCTAATTTCTTTGGTTGTTAGTGTTGCAGCTGTCAGTTACTTTGTATTCCTTGTGCAAGTATCTTTTTTTTTTTTTTACTTATCTTTGTATATGTTGTTTACCTCTAGGATAATGTAAATTCCTTGAGGCCAGGGACTGTTTTACTTTTGTGTCTCCAGCACCTAGTCAACATTGCTGTGTGTGAGTGGGGGATGGGGGTGGAGTGGAACAAAGGGTAATAAACTGTGTTACACTGTTGCCCTACAGAAGTTCCTCCCAGTTTAAATTCACAAGACCTTAAAAATAGCCAAGCTTATAATCAGTTTAACTGACACCCCACCGTGCCCTTTAATAAAGATTCATCAGGGTGTGGTAGATTATATTTTGGTTTCTTACATACCATCATTGCAGCATAGTCACCACACCCAGTTTAGTAATGTTATTGTAAAAAGACTGGTTTAGATAAAATCTGGTTAGAAAGCTCAGGGTTTGGGGAAAAGATCACCTTTAGGATTAAAATTTTAATCTTTTGCAATTTCTATATGTATACATACATATGTATGTATGTATGTATGTATTTAATATTTCTTAAAGTCTTGGGCCAAAGGACTACTTTTGAACTTCTGGTTCTAGGTAAGAGAGGTCCCATTTTAAAAAAGCAATAGTGTTAAAGAAAAGGTCCAAAATGTCCTCTAGATCATACTTGATAGAAATAATAATTAAAAAAAAAAAGAAAAGTTTTGCTGGAGCCTTTTGGCATCTGATGGAAATTTTAAAAAATTCTTCTGAAGTTGAAAAACAACAAATAAATCTTATTGTTTCCATATATACAGTAAAGCTGAAAATTGTATATGAAACTGCAAATCTATTACATAGTTTGTTTTAAAATATATGATAAATGTAGAATATAATTTCCAAAGCTATCATGTTTGTTTCTTTTTTCTTCTATATATTTAAAAAGAATGTTAACAATGACTTTTCTTTTTCCTTTGCTTCCTTCCTTCCTTCCCATTCCCCATGTAAATCACATCTTCCTTATTCCTTTTCTCCCTCTTATTCTCACACCCTTCCCCCAATTAAAAAAAAAAAAGAAAAACAAACCTGGTAGAAATTTTAATGTCATTTATATGGGGACTTTTGTTGAAAAGACAGTTCTTTGTTTGGGCTGCTTAAGAGGCAAAACTCAGGACAAAGAGAATTAAAAGGAATTTATTAGTATATAAAGATAGCAACTTTGGCTGATCACTGGAGATTAGAGATGGCTTCAAGGTGGGGTCATCATTTATTAGTAACTTTCATGATGAGATAAAGACAATTCAGATACATACATATCAATAATTGGGGCAGCTAGGTGGCACAGTGAATAGAACACTGGGCTTGAAGTGAGGAAGACCTGAGTTCAAATTTAACCTCAGACACTTGCTAGTTGTGTGACCCTGGGCAAGTCACTTAACCTTGTTTGCTTCAGCTTCCTCCTCTGTAAGATGGGCTGGAGAAGGAAATGGCAAAACACTCTAGTATCCTTGCCAAGCAAACCCCAAATGGGATCACAAAGAGTCAGATATGACTGAATAACAACAAAAAAATATGTCCTGTGTTTAGCTCGCTTTGTATACACTTGTTTCCATTGGATGGGAAGCTCCTTTTTTGCCTCTTTGTATTCTCGGCACACAGTAGGCACTTAAAGAATGTTGATTGAGTTTGCCTTGTGTGAGGTGAAACCTTGGGGTTGTTTTTATTTGCATTTCTCTTGGTAATTATTTGGAGCATTCTTCATATGGTTTTTAATATTTCTCAATTCATTTGACAACTGTTTGCTTATATCCTTTGACAGGGGACGTTAACACTTTACTGGGCAATGGCTTTTGTGCTTCTCTTTTAATTAAAAAAAATAGCATGATCTTTAATATTGCAGTCTACCTATTAATTTAGAATATGTTGTAGAATATTGTGTAAAAAGTTGTTCTCAGCCTAATTTCTCCAGACTACTTTCCAGGTTTTCTAACAGTTTTTTTTTAAATCAAATGGAGAATTCTTTCCAAAGTGATTTATGTTTTCTGGTTGATCTAATTTCTGTTTATTGAGTTCAATTATTTGTTATTCTCCCTTGTTTAATCTATTCCATTAATCTACCTCTCTATTTTTTTTAAGCCAATACCAAATGTTTTTGATGACTGTTAATTTATAATAAGGTTTTGAGGTCTGGAAGTTCACCTGTACTTCTTTTCATTATTTCTGTAAACATTTTAGACCTTTGATTTTTCCAAGTGAATTTTATTATTATCAAGTTCAGTAAAGCATCCCTTTGATAATTTAATTGGTATAAAATTAAAAATATAAATTAACTTTGGTAGTTTTGTCATTTTTATTGTATTGGCATGATCCTGAGAACTGCATATTCCTCCAAATATTTAAGTTCTTTATTTACTAAGGAGTATTTTGTAATTGAATTGTATTTTGGTACACAAAATATTTATAGCAGCACTTTTCATTATAGTAAAGAATGGGAAACAAAGTAGTATCCCATTGATTTGAGCATAGCTATAGCTAAACAAATTGTGGCACATGAATGTAATGGAATACTAGCGTGCTATAAGAAATGACAAATATGATGAATACAGAGAAGCATGGAAAAATTACATGAACTGATCCAGAGTGAAGGAGTCAGAACAATATACACACTGACTGTAAGAGTATAAATGGAAGGAATGACCACAAAATGATAAAAAATGAATGTTGTAAAATTACAAAGCACAAGCATGGCTCCAAAGAAAAGACAGTAGAAGATATACCATCCTACCCCTTTATAGAAGTGGGTGGTCCATAGGTGTGGTATACTGTACGTATTTCATACTTTTTTGTTGT